TTGTGGGGCCACGAAACCACTGCGGGTTGTGTAGAACTTGGCCCGAAGCCTTCGGTAGAGCCCCCTGTGGGGCCACGAAGCATATGAGGGGTACGCCGAAATCGTTGCTCTGTTGCTCTGTTGCTGGAGGGGCTCTAATTAGGTTGTCTGTTGCGTCTGTTGCTCTGTCGTCTGTTACTCTGTTGCTGGGGGGGGTGCTTTGTGGCTCTGTTACTCTGTTGCTGGGTGGGAGGCTCTGTTGCGCTGTTGCGCTGTTGCTGTGTTGCTGGGGGGGGCTCAGCCACCGGGCACCAGTGAGTGTTTTCGTCAACAACAGCAACAACAGCAACAACAGCAACAACAACAATGACGCCGACGACAACAGCACCAATCATTATAAGACTGTTCGCTCTTATCTGCTCACGCGCCATCCAAAACATATATCCCAAACCCTCGGTACCCGCCCGTGTCGTCTTCGATCGTGTCCCCTTTGGGGTCTATCTTCCTTACCTGCCGTGTGCATGCAGCGCAGCACCTGAAACAGTGGAAGAGAGAACGTGTGGAAGGGGGAGGGAGAAGGATGGAGAGCGAGAATAATGAGTAGGATGGGGCAAGGAACAGAAACAACAAGTGGTAGAACCAGACGGGCAGATCGGGTGGGCAGACCCATAGCCGGCGGGTCGGGACGGCGGGCCCAGGCGACCAGGTCGAGCAGGCGGGTTGCTGAAGCGTGGGTCCTGCATGAATCGCGAGGAAGTCTCGAACAACACTGCGATTCCCAAGTAAATCGTGAGAGAAACCAAGACGAGAGCGCGATTCTTGAGAGACGAGGGCGTATCGTCTGAATACATCGCGAGGAGGTCCCACGCGAGAGCGAGATTTCCACAAAATTGTGAGGATGTCCCGCGCGAGAGCGCGATTATTCAATAACTTGTGAGGAATCATCAGGCGGGAGCCGTTGTTGTTGTAACTCGGGGGCTGGGGGCCCAGTTTGACGCTCAAGACTTTCCCCGGCAGGGTGCGAGCCCCAGGCGGGGCACTTCAATTGAAAGAATACCATGGGCACCTGGCAAAGGGATCAATCATAGTTCTTCTTTAGAAACGAGTTCAACAACAACAGCAACAGCAGCAGCAGCAGAAGCTCCAGCAACAGAACCAGCAGCACCAACAACAACAGCAGCAACACAACAGCAGCAGCAACGAAAACCATATCAACAACACCAGCAACAACAACACAACCAACAACAAATCATGTGTTTCAGACTGTTCGCTCTTTTTCGCTCGCGGGCCATTCATTACGTATACCCCAAACCCTCGATACGTGCCGCCTTTGGGGTATGTATCTTTCGTACATGCAACGTGTATTTCGTGCAGCCCCTAAGGCAGAAGAAGAGAGAACGGATGGCAGGAAGGGACAAGGGGGCGGAGGAGGATGGCACACGAGAGAGAGTAGCAGGAAGGGGGTGCTAGGAGCAGAATGCACATGGCAAAACCAAACGGGCAGAATGGGCCCTAACGGGCAGGTCGGGAAGGCGGGCCCAGGCGACCAGGTCGAGCAGGCGGGTTGCTGAAGCGTGCCTCCCGCATGAATCGCGAGGAAATCTAGAGCGTTTGCGCGATTCCCAAATGAGTCGTGAGGCAATCCGCAGCGAGAGCGTGATTCCTGAGTGTCGAGGGCGCGGCGTCTGAATACATTGCGAGGAAGTCCCACGCGAGAGCGAGATGCCTGCATACATTGCGAGGAGGTCCAGAGCGAGAGCGCGATTAGGGAATACATTGTGGCGAAGCATTAGGCGGGAGCCGTCGTTGTTGTTGCTGTTGTTGTTGTTGTTGCAAACTGGGAGCCAGGGGCCCAGTTTAGTGACTCATCAATTCTCCTTGTGCAAAACAGGATGCGAGACACCTGCTTTTCAATGTAAAAAACAAGGTGCGAGCCCCGCGATAATGAAGAACACAATGGTTCCTGGAGGGGATCAACAACAATTATCTTAAATAAAAACTCAGCAACAACCACAACTACGACAACCACGACAACAAACAACAACAACGAAACGGAAACTAGTCTACGGAACCCCAATTCACCCACGCACCCAGGGATGGCGTAAAACCGTTCAGCCCCCTCGCTCCCTCACCCTGAGGAAACACCTTTCGTCGTTCCTGTCTTACTCGTGATGATAGGAGGCCTCCTAGATGGGGTCGGAGTAGATGGGGTCAGAGGATCGCGCCGCATCGCCGATGCATCACCGATACATCGACGATGCATCGACGATGCATCGGCGACGTCGGCGATGCGTCGGCGACGTCGACGTGAAGCAAATCGGGCTCCACATCGAGCCGCATCGCCGATGCATCGGCGATGCAGCGCGATCCTCCGACCCCATCTACTCGGACCCCGACTAGGAGGCCTAGAGATGACGCCCCCGCCCCCCCTCCCTCCCCCCTGGACACGCCGCGATTTGCGCCGGCGCCGTGCGGGAGTCAATGAGACAGCCCTGTAAGCATTCCCAGAGGGTGCCGGCGCACATCGCGAGGTGGCCGGCAATTGCCCTGTCCCCCCCGTCACGCCCGTCATCGCCATGGGATCACAAAATTGCGCCTGTTCGCGACGCGAGGGGTCTGGGTTCCCAGAAGGCCCTCCCAATGTTTTTGCTCATCACGCTAACCCTAAGAAAGTCCAGACACATTCCTGGAACCGGCTTACCATCCTGAGTCTTTGCTTTTTGTTGACGGTCCCGAGGCCCCGGGAAGGAACCCCAGAGGCCGAAACTGGCGAACACCCTCCTGACACGATTCCTTCAAGGCGCGAGGGAGTCTGGGTTCCCAGAAGGCCCCCCCCCCCCCCTGCGCCAGCCCCCCGCCGTGCGCGCCGCCACATCGTGGCCGTGAGCCCGGGCAGCCAGAGCCCCCGCACCCCGCCCGCGGCGAACAGCAGCCGCAAGGCGCGCGCGGTGCCCCCGGCGGTGGCGCCGCCCGCCGCCGCCCGGCCGGCGCGCGGCCCCGCCTGCATCCGCGTCTTGACGACGCTTCCGGGGGCCGCCGGGTGGTCCCCGCGCAGCGGGCGTCGGGGGGCCCCCAAGAATGCCAAGGAGGCCCCCGCGGCCTCCGGAGAACTCCTCACGAGGCCCAGGGTGCCTCAGGTGCTCGAAAATGAATCGAGAAGCTGAGGGTACCTTGGGCCAGGGGCACCTTTAGCAGTTCCCCCCGGACGGCGAGGGGAACGTCAGGGGGGGGGACTCTCTCATCGTGGAAACGAGAAAGCGTTTCTTGATTCTTCGCGGTAGCGGTCATCCCAGGCCGCTCCCCCCTGCCCTCCCCCAGCCAACGTCGCGATTCGTGCTGACCTTCGAGTTGGGCTCGGTCATTCCTCGGCATCCCCAAACGACGACGGCGGCGCGAAACGTGACGGTCCCGGCCCCCCGCCCCCCTCCCCGCCCCCCGGCAACCCCCCTCGCTCTCGCCCGGGAATCTTGAAAAAAACGCTCTCCAACCGAATATCTGCGGACAGTCTCTGCCCATCTTGGGTCTCCGAGGGCCCTCATGAAGGGCCCCTGGGGCCGGCCTTTGGGGTCTGCCGGCCCGGACTCGGGATGAGAACCGGCCCCCGTGAAAAAGGTCCAGACCTCAGGGGGGCCTCGGGCCCAGGCCCACGACGTCATGATGTGTTCCTAACGTTAGGTCGGGCCTGTCCCCCTACAAAGGGATTTTGGGCGACAAATTGAAAATACAACAAAAATAATCAAAATTGCTAAACGTCAGAAACTAATCCCCAGACTATTTTTCTAATTTTTGAGGGACACGCCCGACGCAATCGTAATGTCGACCCCGTTCCCTGTCCTGACTTGTCGTCCGGCCCAGCAGAACCGACGTCGCGAGAATGTCATAAGCACGTAACGCATCGCGAGAAATCACGCCCCGGGGCCCCAGACCCCCTCGCGATGTGCAAAAATCGCGACGAAAGGTTTTGCTGGCCATGTTCGGCCCCTGGGGGCATCTCCTGAAGGCGGATTCTGGAAGACAGAGACAGCTTTCTCAAACGAATCATCAACAAGAAATCAAAAAGAGCATGAAAAGCCGTCACCAGAGTGTTTGTCGACTATTCTTGAAGATTCCTCCTGTAGAGGGACATGCCCGACTTAATCCTATGGGGCACGGCGAGGGCACTCCTGGAGGCAGACAACCGCAGGTGGAGCCATGGGGGGGCACTCCCCGGCGGCGCCCGGAGATGTCCAGCGGGTTCAGGGCCGCGCTGGCCACCTAGAGTCGGGAATGGGCAGAAGCCCTTTAGTAAAACGTGGTTTAGTGTAAACGACCTCGGGCCCAAACCTGGCGGGCGCAGCCCTGGAAAATGGCGGGCGCAGGCCTGGAAGATGACGGCCGCGGCGCCCCCTCGAGAACCGAAGACGGGCAATGCACTGATCTGCGCGTCCGGGTGGGGACCCCGTGCGCCCCCGATAGAGAGGCCTCCCAGATGGGGTGCGCGCACCGTGGGGTCGGAGGGCCCCGAGAGCCGACGCCGCAAAGCACATCGCGGCATCGCAAAACGTCCCGGCCAGAGCCCCAGGACCCCGCCTTCCCGCGTCGTGTGCTCGAGACGCATCGAGCCGTGGAGGCCCCAGAGCCCGACCTTGAGCGAAAACGCCCGCTGGGGGAAACAACAAATCAACGCCAGGACCCCCGGGGATCGCGCCGCACCGCCGCTGCATCGGTGCTGCATCTGTGACCCCAGGCCCCCGACGCTATGCCTTGTTCCACGCCGCGACCCCCAGGGAGGTCCGGACCCTCTCCCCCGGGACCAGCGTGTCCTCCCGGGTCGTTCTCTGACGGCCCCCGAGGCCGTGTGAGGGCCCCCAGAGGCCGAAAATGGCGCGAAACAGAAGCCATCGTGTTTTTTTTGTCGTGCCTCGAGGGGGGTCTGCGACGTCGGCGTGGAGACGCTCGGGTTCCACATCGAGCCGCGCCGCCGAAGCGTCGGCGGTGCGGCACGCTCCTCCGACCCCAGCTTGCCCGACCCCCGTCTGGGAGAGACGCCCCGGAAGCGGGGGGGGCGAGAGGGCAGGACAGCAAAGGGTAGTGCTAGGTCGGGCATGTCCTGCTTCAGGCGGATCTTGATTCATTGGTTCTTGGTTATAAGAAAAAGAAAGTCAAAGATGGTCAAACAATCGTCCCCGAATTATGTTTTGACTATTTTTCCCAACCATCCTGTGGTGTTGGGTCCTCGTTTTGAAGAGACGTCGCCCCGCGTTCCTCCTTCCTCCTCCTTCCTCCTCCTCCCCTTCCTCCCCCCTCATCCCCCTCCCACACCCATTCTGGCACACCCCTCACACGTTTCGTGGCCCCATAGGGAGCTCCTCCGAAGGCCCCAGTGGCTGCGCCCGCATGCGGTGTCCACCCCCCATTCCTGGCTCACCCTCACACGGTTTCCGGGGCCCCCATTAAGGGAGCTCCACCGAACACCCCTCACACTGTCGTGGCCCAGAGGGAAGCTCCATCCGAAGGCCCCAGTGGCTGCGCTCCGCATCGGTTTCCACCCCCCATTTCGGCACATACCCCTCGCACGTTTCGTGGCCCCATAGGGGGCCCCCACCATAGTCCCCAATGGCATCGGCCCTGCGGCCGCCACCCACCCAGCACAGCCCTGGTCCCTGCGTGCGTCACACCACACCAAAACACGCTTCGTGGGCCCCTATAGGGATCTCCACCAAAGGTCCCAGCGGCACCGCCCGCATGCGCCCGCCACCACCCTGCACAGCCCTTGCTCCCTGCCTGCGTTTCACCCACCCAGTACAGCGTTTCGTGGCCCCATAGGGAGCTCCACCGAAGGTCCCAGTGGCACCGATCGCATGCGTCCGCCACCACGCAGCACAGCCCTTGCTGACCGCGTCTCACCCACCCAGTACAGCGCTTCGTGGCCCCATAGGGAGCTCCACCGAAGGTCCCAGTGGCACCGCCCGCATGCGTCCGCCACCACCCAGCACAATTGCGGCAGTCACAACTGCATATGGTTGGGTCCTTCGCCAGGAAAAAAAATAAATAAAAAAATCGAAGAAAACCATATAAGATTAACAAAAAATAAAGAGTAAAAAAACAAAGAAAAAAGAAAAAAAAAAGGAGAATAAATAAAAAAAAAAAAAAAAAAATAAAGAACAAAAAACGGCCATGAAAAAAAAAAAAAAGTATACTAAAAAAAAAAAAATAAAAAAAAAAAAGGCTAATTTGCTATTCCGCTGTAGAAGGACACGCCCGACTTCAGGGTAGGGTAGAGTCGGCCGACGCAACTGGCATTCCTGGTGCCGGGAAGCGCCCGTGTGCCAAGAAATGGGCCAGGCGGCGGGGCCGAAACCAGCTACACGCAGCAGATTTCGTCCCCCCCCTCTCTCCCTATCCTGCCTTTTCGTCTGGCTCTGCTGAACCGAAGTAGCGAACAAAACAACAACAACAACAACAACAACAACAACAACAACAACAACAACAACAACAACAACAACAACAACAACAACAACAACAACAACAACAACAACAACATGCAACATCCTGAATAATCACGCCGGGAGCCCTAGACCCCATCGTTGTACGCCGTGCTTCGAGACGCATCGAGATGTCAGAGTCCTGGGGCCCGAAGAAAGAGCGAAGACGCCCCGCTCGACAAAGTTGAGACGCCGGGATCTCAGGGCCTGGGAGGCCCATGCCCGCGACGTCATGATTTTCCCGAACGCAACCCCAAAGGGCCAGACCCATTCCTTGGAACTGGTTTCTCATCCTGAATGGTAGCGTGACGGTTCCGGTGGCGAAAAAACAACTTGAGGGGTCTCGGGTTATGTTGCTCCCATCGTACTTCACGACCACATCCCAGGAAACAAATTCCAACACCAAGAGAAGTGTCGAAACAGTGTCGGACGAGTATCGCATCGCAGAGCCCGACACGTGAAGACCGTCCCGTTTCGGTACAATCCAGGTGCTCGAAATTATTTCTGGTGATCAAAACATAACTCGGTTGGAACATCATAATTCTGGAGAGCCGAGTATAGTAAGCTGGGAAGAAGACGAGTGGGAGTAGGAGGAGAAGGAAGAGGAGGAGGAGGAGGACGAGGAGGACGAGGAGGAGGAGGAGGAGGAGGAAAAGGGGGTGGAGGGGGAGGAGGAGAAGGAGGAGGAGGAGGAGGTGGAGGAAATGGAGGAAAAGAGGAAAAGGAGGAACCAGGAGGTATAAGAGGAAAAGGAGGAGGAGGAGAGTAGCGCAGGAGGAAAAGGGGGGAGAGGGGGAGGAGGGGAGGAGGAGGAGAAGGTAGGGTAGGGATGGGATGGAGGAATGCGGAGGAGGAGGAGGAGGAGGAGGAGGAGCTGAGGAGGGAGGGATAGAGCAGAGGAGGAAAGGAGGAGGAGAGGAGGAGGAGGAGGAGGAGGAGGAGGAGGAGGAGGAAGAGGAGGACGAGGGAGGAGGAAGAGGAGGAGAGGGAGGAGGGGAACCAGGCTGGCGGCGCCCGAGGCCAGGCAGTCCCGCGCCAGGGTGCTCCCCGCGCCGCGAGGCACGGCCGACGTCGCGGCGACCGTGCCGCCCACGGCGCCCCCGAGGGCGAGCGCCGCGCGGCCCTCGCGGCCCGAGCGGGCGCCGTCGGGCTCCGGGCACCCGGGCGCCCTCCGCAAACCTGGGGCGGACACGGACCTCAATGGGACACACACCCTGACCCAGACATGATCGCGTCGTAGAAAGTGACGCTACCGAGGAACCTCACATATCTAATTCTAAGATTCTGTGTTTGTCGCCCCGCATCTGCGCAAATTCACCATGCTAACCTCGACACCTGCGTCAGCCATGGAATTCTTGAGATTCAAACACGGAGGCGGCAGTGGGTCAATGGGACATTTGGAGGCATGAGCGGCGCGGGCGGCAAGACAGCACTTGCAGCATTCGAGCCAGTTTGGGCCAAAGTGTCTACAATTTTGGCCGCCATGCATGCCACGCTGTCTGGCCCTGTCACGCACCGTGGCAGGCCCCCCCCCCCTGCGCACCCCTCTTGTGTCGAGAAAGGGTTACGCCGGCCACGCTGTCCGACCCTGGCACGCATAGGGATCTGAGGGACCACCCCCTGCGCACCCCTCTGGTGTCGAGAAAGTGCAACGCCTGCCACGCTGTCCGACCCTGGCACGCACATTGGCCGCGTTGAGAGACCACCCCCTGCGCACCCCGTCTGGTGGCGACAACGTGCCACGCCTGCCACGCTGTCCGACCCTGGCACGCATAGGGGCCGCGCTGAGGGACCACCCCCTGCGCACCTCTCTAGTGTGGAGAAAGTGTTACGCTTGCCGCGCTTCCCGACCCTGGCACGCATAGGGGCCGCGATGAGGGACCACCCCCTGCGCACCCCCTGGTGGCGATACAGTGCAACGCCTGCCACGCTTTCCGACCCTGGCACGCATAGGGGACGCGCTGAGGGACACTCTCTACGCACCCTCTGGTTTGGAGAAAATGCCACAGCTGCCACATTTTCCGATCCTGGCACGCATAGGGACTGTGCTGAGGGACCACTCTCTGCGCACCCCCTTCTGGCGTAGAGAAAATGCAACGCCCCTCACGCTCTCCGTTCCTGGCACGCACAGAGCCAGCGCCGAGGCCCCCCCCCCCCTGCGCAACCCCTCTAGCGTCGAGAAAGTGCAACGCCTGCCACGAGAACGTGCAACGCCTGCCACGGTTCCGACCCTGGCACGCATAGAGACTGTGCTGAGGGACCACTCTCTGCGCACCCTTCTGGCGTAGAGAAAATGTAACGCCCCTCACGCTTTCCGTTCCTGGCACGCCTGCCACACTTTCCGACCCTGGCACGCATAGAGGCCACGCTGCGGGACCACCCCCTGTGCCCCCCCCTCTGGTGTCGAGAAAGGCTGCGCCTCTGATTGTCGCGCATGTGCTGCGTTGTGTGCGTGTCATGTGTATGATGCGTGTGCGGCTGTATTTTAGCGTGCGTCCCATGTGGATGATGCTTGTGCGGCCGTATCGGGACGTGTGTCTCATGTGTGGGTGCCCAGCAGATTGTACATACGTCTTGAGTGTATGATGCAGTGAACACGCCAGGCGTGCACTAGCGTTGTGTGGTGTATGTTGTGTGTGTGTGTGTGCGAGTGTGTGCACGCGTGCGGCTGTATGTAGACGCGTGTCTCATGTACGTACCGTTCATGTGTTGCGCGCGGGTGAAGGGAAAACAGAAGAGGAGGAGGGGAGGTGAGGGAGACGCGGGTGCGACGCGGCAGGTAAGAAAACCAGAGCCCCACGAAACCTGTCGGGAAATAGGACGGGTCGGTTTTTCGCAATTTTCGGTCTCTGGGGGTCTCTGGCCCCTTAACCAGGGTCCTGGCTACAACCGGCCTGAGATCCTGGCGCTGCAATCCCAGACCCCCTCGAGTCATGAAAACATCATAATAGAAAATGTTTGGCCATTTTCGGCCTCTGAGGGCCATCCCCGAGCCTCGCGGGACCGTCAAAAATGACTCGGGGAGAAAGCTGGTCCTGGGGAATGGGTCTGGACATCTACGGGTCGCGTCATGAAAAAATCATGACATCAGGGCTCTCGGGTTGCATTTTTTTCAAAACGGGCGTTTTAACTTAGTTTCCGGCCCTGGGACCCTCACAAATCGATCCGGGTCGAAAGACGATGCAGAAAGATGGGGTCCAGGGCTCGGGTCGTGTTTTTTTGCGATGTTGCATTTCTGTTGCAACGTCGGATCTCAAGGAAGGTTCAATGGACAATAAGCCAATCAAACAGATCCCAGGACCCCCCCCTGACAACCTTGATAACACATGCTGAGCGATGACAGCAAAACAGCCTACCCGGACAACCCCTGGGACAACCCCGGGGGGAAACGGACAACCCCACCAGACAACCCCCCTTGGATTAGCCTCCCCGGGAGTTTTCTTTCATGAGAGGGCATGTCCCCCTGAAGGCGGATTTTGGACGAAGAGTAAAACGTACTCAAAACATGCCCAAATCAGTCAAATACAACTATAAACATCGTCCCCATATTATTTCCTGACTATTCTTGACTATTCCTCCTGTAGAGGGACGTGCCCGACTTAAAGATAGAGACGCACCGTCCGACCTGAACATGTAGCACACGATCTTGTAGCACATCATTGCCTAAGCGGTATGGCCAGAAAGCGCCAATCACGAAGCTTATACTATACAAGATTTCCGCGCGTTCGCGTCGCCCTTGCGTGGCCGGCGCACATGGAATATGACATGCTTGGGTGGTGCCGACGCAACGCATCGGAACAAACATTGCGGATATCCACAGCTTTCGGACTCGGCTTGGATCACCGCGGGGGCAGCTGAGTGGTATGAGTGGATGCTGAGGTTGGTTACACCTGGCCTGCCCTAACTTAGACGAAGACACAAACGTAAACTTTCCGAGATCCGCGCGGATCTCTTTGTCGGCGCTGGACTCCCCTCCCTGGCACCGCCAGGGGGGCCCAGCGCCGATCCAAGAACTCCGCATGGACCCCTGAGAAGTTATGGTTCTGCCGTTTCTGATTCTTCGATGTATCACCAAACCTTGTGGTCGCCACACCATTTCCCACACATGCGATGCCATTTTCTTTTCCAGGACGGGGTCCCTGTAAGTGCCGACCCGTTCCCCAGGAGCGGCTTTTCATGCCGAGTCGTTTTCTGACGGTCCTGGGGCCCGGTATAAAGGGCCCCCAGGTGGCCCAATAACGGTTAAGTCAGGCCTACCCCCCTACAGGGGGAGCTTCGACGGAAAACAAAAAAAAAAAATTACCATGTGACGTACCCAACCCATTTGTATCAATGGAAACGAGGAGTTGGCCGAAACTTGTATGGACAATCAACTTGATGTGTAAGCTACTTGGGAGGCGTCACTGTGCTGGGCCCCGCAAGCAGGCCTCGAAAGTGGCGACAGTTTCACAGATCGCAGCCCCCCAGGGATGGCGAGGTCTAATTTGAATCTGCGTGTGGCGTCACTGTGCTGGGCCCCCCAGCAGCCCTCGAAAGAGGCGACAGTTTCACACATCGCAGCCCCCCCAGGGATGGCGAGGTCTAATTTGAATCTGCGTGTGGGTACCCACTGTGCTGGGCCCCCCAGCAGGCCTCGAACGTGGCGACAGTTTCACAGATCGCAGCCCCCCAAGGATGGCGAGGTCCCGTTTGAGTCTGCGGTGAGTACCCACTGTGCTGGGCCCCCCCAGCAGGCCTCGAAAGTGGCGACAGTTTCACAGATCGCAGCCCCCCAGGGACGGCGAGGTCCAATTTGAGTCCGCGGTGAGTATCCACTGTGCTGTGCCCCCCAGCAGCCCTCGAAAGTGGCGACAGTTTCACAGATCGCAGCCCCCCAAGGATGGCGAGGTCTAATCTGAGTCTGCCGTGAGTACCCACTGTGCTGGGCCCCCCAGCAGCCCTCGAAAGTGGCGACAGTTTCACAGATCGCAGCCCCCCAGGGATGGCGAGGTCTAATTTGAATCTGCGGTGAGTACCCACTGCGCTGGGCCCCCCAGCAGCCCTCGAAAGTGGCGACAGTTTCACAGATCGCAGCCCCCCAGGGATGGCGAGGTCTAATTTGAATCCGCCGTGGGTACCCACTGTGCTGGGCCCCCCAGCAGCCCTCGAAAGTGGCGACAGTTTCACAGATCGCAGCCCCCCTGGGATGGCGAGGTCCCATTTGAGTCTGCCGTGGGTACCCACTGTGCTGGGCCCCCCAGCAGGCCTCGAAAGCGGCGACAATTTCACAGAACGCAGCCTCCCTGGGATGGCGAGGTCCCATTTGAGTCTGCCGTGGGTACCCACTGTGCTGGGCCCCCCAGCAGGCCTCGAAAGCGGCGACAATTTCACATATCGCAGCCCCCCAAGGATGGCGAGGTCCCATTTGAGTCTGCCGTGAGTACCCACTGTGCTGGGCCCCCCAGCAACCCTCGAAAGTGGCGACAATTTCACAGATCGCAGCCCCCCAGGGATGGCGAGGTCCCGTTTGAGTCTGCCGTGAGTACCCACTGTGCTGGGTCCCCCAGCAGCCCTCGAAAGTGGCGACAGTTTCACACATCGCAGCCCCCCAGGGATGGCGAGGTTCCATTTGAACCTGCCGTGAGTACCCACTGTGCTGGGCCCAGAGAGAAAAAGAAACCAACATCCCACCAAAATAATACTTACCCTGTGACGTACCCAACCCATTTGTATCAATGGAAACGAGGAGTTGGCCGAAACTTGTATGGACAATCAACTTGATGTGTAAGCTACTTGGGAGGCGTCACTGTGCTGGGCCCCGCAAGCAGGCCTCGAAAGTGGCGACAGTTTCACAGATCGCAGCAGCCCCCCCCCCAACATTCCAACCCAGGACGGCGAGTCTAAGTGAAGCTGCTGTGGCGTCACGGGGCGGCCCCCCCAGCAAGGCCTCGAAAGTGGCGACAGTTCACAGATCGCACCCCAAGAGAGGACGTAGGTCTTAATTTGAAATCTGCGTGTGGGTAACCCACTGTCTGGGCCCTCAGCAGCCCTCGAATGTGCGACACCTTCACGATCGCAGCCCCAGGTTGGCGAGGTCTACATTTGATCCTCCGGAGTACCCACTTGCGGGCCCCCCAGCAGGCCTCGAAAGTGGCGACAGTTTTCTCAAGCGCAGCCCCCCAGGGATGGCGAGGTCTAATTTGAGTCCGCGGTGAGTTCCCACTGTGCTGGGCCCCCCAGCAGGCCTCGAAAGTGGCGACAGTTTCACAGATCGCAGCCCCCCAGGGATGGCGAGGTCAAATTTGAGTCTGCGGTGGGTACCCACTGTGCTGGGCCCCTCAGCAGGCCTCGAAAGTGGCGACAGTTTCACAGATCGCGGCCCCCCAGGGATGGCGAGGTCTCATTTGAGTCTGCGGTGGGTACCCACTGTGCTGGGCCCCCTCAGCAGCCCTCGAAAGTGGCGACAGTTTCACAGATCGCGGCCCCCCAGGGATGGCGAGGTCTAATTTGAGTCTGCGGTGGGTACCCACTGTGCTGGGCCCCTCAGCAGCCCTCGAAAGTGGCGACAGTTTCACAGATCGCAGCCCCCAGGGATGGCGAGGTCTAATTTGAGTCTGCGGTGGGTACCCACTGTGCTGGGCCCCTCAGCAGCCCTCGAAAGTGGCGACAGTTTCACAGAACGCAGCCCCCCAGGGATGGCGAGGTCCCATTTGAGTCTGCCGTGAGTACCCACTGTGCTGGGGTACCCCTGTGCTGGGACCCCCACAGGCCTCAGATAGTGGCCGACATTTCACAGAAGCGCAGCCCCCTAAGGGTTGCGAGGGCCCATTTTGAGCTAGCCGTGAGTACCCACTGTGCTGGGCCCCCCAGCAGGCCTCGAAAGTGGCGACAATTTCACAGGTCGCAGCCCCCCAAGGATGGCGAGGTCCCATTTGAGTCTGCCGTGAGTACCCACTGTGCTGGGCCCCCCAGAAGGCCTCGAAAGTGGCGACAATTTCACAGATCGCACCCCCCAAGGATGGCGAGGTCCCATTTGAGTCTGCCGTGAGTACCCACTGTGCTGGGCCCCCCAGCAGCCCTCGAAAGTGGCGACAGTTTCACACATCGCAGCCCCCCAGGGATGGCGAGGTCCCATTTGAGTCTGCCGTGAGTACCCACTGTGCTGGGCCCCCCAGCAGGCCTCAAAAGTGGCGACAGTTTCGCAGATCGCAGCCCCCCAGCTGGCACGCAGCGACGAGCGAGGCAAAAGGCAAGTGGGAAGAGAGGGGCGGGAAGGAGGCACGGCGACGCGCGAGCAGTGCTCTTTTCAAAACGAGAACCCAACGCAGGAGGGTTGGGAAACAAATCCTCCAAAAATAGTCTGGGGAGTATCTTAAAAATATGTTTGACCTTTTTGGGGTATGTTTTATGTTTCGTCGAAAATCCCCCTGTAGGGGGACAGGCCCGACATGAAATAACGGCCAGCATGCCCCCAGTCCTGCTTTTGCCACGACGCGAGCATGTCTGGGGTGGCCCCCCGACAGCCGCCCCCCGCCCGAGGATGGCCAGGGGCGGCCCGCATACAGGACGGTGAGGGGCACCGACAGGGGGGGACTTTTGGAGGCCTGGAAATCGGCACCAACACCAACACAAGGGGTTGCCTTCACAGGGGAAGATGATCCTCGATTTCGGTGTTGGTGGCAATACTTCGGCCACCTTGGAAGCCAGAATATTACCACCATCACCGAGATCGGGATCTTCTTCCCTCGGTGGAGGCACAACACCGATATTGGTATTAGGTGTCAACCTCTGGGCCTGCGAGACTTGCGTACGGGGGGGAACATCGACCTGGAATCGGCGATACGCCGCCGACAGATCGGCGATAGGCGCCCGATAGCAAAGCCCCACCTTCCTGGGCGTGGGGGGGATAGGGGGTCCCCGTCAGCGATGAGCAAGCGATTGGAGGTCGATGCATCCCCCCCCCCGAGACTGACCCCTCGAACGGTGGGGCCCTGACCTTTGGCTCTCTGGCTTTCGGGCCATAGCTCCAGCCTCTGGCGGCCGTTCGGGACGACTCCGGCAACCCCGGAACGCTCTCGACGCGCAGCTGATGGAAACCACCCCGAGCCTCGAAAACTTTGAGGACAACGACTCAAGCCTGTCAACCCCACCCCCCCATGAGCCTACCTTTGGGTGGCAGCTCATGGGAGCCTCCCATACCATCTTGTCGGCTCTTGCGAATCGACGTTCATCGACGCGAAATCGTCGCGAATGCGACGCTAAAGGCGGAACTGAGAGGGTACACCAGGCTCCCAAATACTTGCCACCGAACGATCCACTGCTGCTGTTGCCCCCCGATTCGGGGACCCAGCAGCCGCCGCACGCCCGAGGACGGCCGGGGGCGGCCCTCATCCGGTCCAGGGGGCCGCTCGGGGGCGACGACGGGGGCGAATAGCCCAAGGCAAGGCAACACATGCATCAACAGAGAGCCCGTAGATGGGGTCGGAGCAGATGGGGTCGGAGGACCGCGCCGCATCGCCGATGCATCGGCGATGCATCGACCACGTCGGCGATGGATCGGCCACGTCGGCGTCGAGAGAAACGCGCTCCGCATCGACCGCATCGCCGAAGAATCGACGATACGGGGAGATCCTCCAGTCCCATCTACTCGGACCCCATCCAGGAGGCCTAGAATCCAGGGGCACCGATGGTCCATGCCTTCGGCTAGGCTCCCGAGCGAAAGCCCTGAAATCCGACGAGGCAACAAAAATGAATGCATTGCAGAAAAGTCACCACCAGAGCCCTGGACCCATCTTTCTGGGTCATTTTTCGAGCCGAATCGATCTGTGAGGGTCCCAGGGCCCGAAATTAGGCGACAACGCCCGTTAGGAACAAGTTGCAGTGTCAGGATCTCAGGGAGCGTGCAGTGCCCGCCCCCGAGGCCATTCGCCCCTCTCGTCGCCTCCGACGTCCGGGCCGGGGCCGTCTGCGCAAGCTCTGCGCGCCCCGGGCGGGCTTCTGGCCCCTCGAGCGGAAAGGCTGCGGGCGGGCGGCCTCACCCCTCCTCTCCCCTCTCTCGCAGCCGCTGGGCGCGTCAACCTGGCTACGCTCAACCGCGGCCGCCGCGAGGCGCTGAGGCTACGTGGAGGCTACCCTTTCCAGAGCCATCCCTCCTCCTCCTCCTCCTCCTCCCCCTCCTGCCCTTCCTCCCCCTCCTCCTCCTCCCTCCTCCCTCCTCCCTCCTCCTCCTCCTCCCTCCTCCTCCTCCTCCCTCCTCCCTCCTGCTCCTCCTCCTCCTCCTCCTCCTCCTCCTCCTCCTCCTCCTCCTCCTCAGGGCCGCGCCGACTTCTCGTCCCGAGTCGCTTCCGGCCCGGTTTGCCTGCGCCCCCCCTCTCCCCCTCCGGGCACGGGCCGGCCCTTGCAGCCGACCATGCGCTGCAGCATCCACTCGCCCGCCTCCTCGGAGTAGACGGCGTCCGTGTACTGGATGTTTTTTCTTTTCCACCGCGCCGGCATTCCCCACACCACCATCAGCTCCACACAGATCGCGGGCCCACCTGCGCACAACTCAATGTGCATCGACCAGGGCGTCATGGCCAAAATGGCACTAAACAGGGCACGAGAGGAGCGTGGACCCTCCAGCAGGAAGAGATTCCGAGGCATCGACCATCCGTGTACTGGGTGGGGCGGAGGGCGAGGAGGATCGGGTCGGCTGTCCACGAAGGAGGGTCAGCGCCCCCGCTGCCGCGCCAGCGCCGAGCCCTTTAGAGGGTTCGACGGTCGAGGCTGGGCCCGACAGGGGGGGGCCAGGGAAAGCTGAGGGATCCAGGCCCCGAGGGCGCTTCCTTGACAGGGGCACAACAGAAACTGAAAACCACAAACGAGTCGAGAGCTAGGCCGGGACGAGGAAGGGAGGGGATACAGGAAGAGGAGGAGGACGGACAGAATGGAGGAAGGAAGGCACCCACACATTCGACGACGCGTTATTTTTTGCAGCGCGCGGGTAACCAGTGGATGCATGATCCGCGTGAGGCGGCATGCGAAACGAAGAGACAACTCTGGAGTTGCAGCCACCGGCAATCATCACTTTTTCTGCATCCCTGATCTGGGTTGCTCGCATCGAATCCGCCGATGGGCGCACCGTGTTTCCAGGTTACGATAATGGTTGCCAACGCTGGTCGTCCTCCGCACTGCTGTGATCTTCACGGGTCCAAGCTTCACCCACATACCGTTCGTGCTCACATCGGCGATCGGCAGTGATATGGATGCCGTGTCCCTTGCCAGAACACTGGACCCAATCGCCTGTCATGTTCCTTGCAGTGAAGTCCGCCGACCCCCGCTTGCTGGGGGTGAGAAGGCGCGTGAGATAATTGGCTGTCTCCCTCCCCCGTTTCACCATCCCCCGTGGCTAAACGTCGCATTCGAGGGGTGGGCCCTGGGGGGCGGGTTTACGAGCTCCCTGGCGCTTGTTCTAGAGCCAAAACGCCCCAGGACGGGCCCAAAAAGAGCTCCAAGGCAGTCCAAGAGAGCGTCGACAAGGCCAAGGGTAGCTCCTCGACGCTCCAATATAGCTTCTAGACGGTTCCCGGGGTCATTCGGACAGCCCACGGAAGCTCTCAGAGGATCGCCGAGAAGGCCCCCTTTCCCTTCGGAAGACCTTCGGAAGGCGTGCATGTTTAGCAAGCTCGTGTCTCTCATCATTCCAGCGTGCACAGCGGCTCAAGGGCACCACAGAATCGCCCCAAGATGGCCCCGAAGGCCCCCCAGACCGCCTGGGGGGGCTCCAACACACCCCACGAGGGCCCCCCCTAACGGCCCACAAGGACCCCCACAAGGGACCCCAAGAGGGACAATCCGACTTCACATGTGTAGCCTCTCCCGCAAAGATGCCCCCAGGAGCTCCCCGGGTGCCTCCGCGGCGCCCCCACGAGGCCCCACGATGTCTCCGACAGGCCTCCCAGGGACCCCCGAGGCGTTCCAGAGACCCCAAGAGGCATCCAAGAGCCCCCCAAACCGCCCCCAAGGGGCCCCCCAAAGCCAACCACGGGTCCCCAAAAACCTGCACCCGCAGAGCCTTTCGGAGGCCTCCGATATGGCTTTCAAGCAGCCCCGTGACAACCCCGGCAACCACACTTGCACCCCAAAATTCCATCCGTCCTCCCTCCTCGTCCTCCTCCTCCTCCTCCTCCGCCTCCTCCACCTTCTCCTCCTATTCCTCCTCCGCCTCCTCGTCCTTCTTCTTCTCTTCCCCCACTTCCTCCTGCGCCTCCTCTTTCTCCTTCTCCTCCTCCCTCGCGGGCGTAAAACAACACCCAGCAACTCCAGCTCCAGCGCAGCCTGCCGAACGCCCTGGACGTCTCTACTCTCTGGGGGTCGGCGGAATGGCGTACGCCACTCGAGTAAGTATCTGAGCAAGCATCCAGGGCAGCCCAGCAGGCCGCCAAAAAGGCTCCAATGCTGCCCAGGAGGGCCCAAAGGCGGTCCAAGAGGACCCCAGGACGGCTAAAGAGGGGCCCAACAGGACGAGCCCGAACAAACGTTTCGAGCCCTCCGTCCCGAGAGGCCCCACAGGGGGCCCCAAGAGCTCCAGAAAACCTCAAAGAAGCACTCAAGAGGCATCGTGGAGGCTCGCGGACACAGACTGCTATGGTTCACGCCTGGTCTACCTGTGTCGTCGTCCACGTCATCGTCGTCGTCGTCGTCGACGTCGTCGTCGTCGTCGTTGTCGTTACGTTGCCCTCATCTTCTGCTCTTCCTCCTCTTCCAACCGCACTTCGATCGATACGCCTCCAGCGGTACCGCTGGGATGCCACTTCAGCCATGGAGCATCTGACACGCCTCCCTAGCACCAGGGATCCACGCCCGCAGGGGTCAACATGACGCTCACGATACCACTTCGGTACTACCCGAGCCATACCGATTGCACCAACGCAAACACCATACAGTATCCATATGCCTTCGCGAGGAATCCCACGCAACCCCGAGCAACATCCAAGAAGCATCGGAAATCACAACCCAGGCACGAAGGCCACTAGATCTCGGGCAGTGTGTCAAGTGGTATGGCATCAAACAACATGACGCCGCACGCCATGCCTGAATTCACGCCCAAACAAAACATGACGCCCAAGACAAACAACGAGCCGGACGCCTGCAGGCACCGTCAGAACCACGACCCCCTTCCTGGCCTGGGGCCTACAATTCGTGCTGTACCTACATACATCTTCGGCCGTTCAACGCCAGCCTGAGCCGCATGGGTCCCCGCTTGGCTCCTTTTAGGCAGCGTTCGGCCCGTTTTGGTTGATCTTGGGCAGTGTTCTGGTTATTTCTGGCATCCTGGTGTGGATGGTAAACAAGGGGCCAGAGAGCCAACATCCATATCACAAATCCGTCGGTAGTGATGACGGGACGAGGAACAAACAGCAAAACGATGATCGATGAGCCACGCGCCATGTCTGAGACTAACACGCGATGGGTTGGGAACAACAATGGAGCGCAGGCAGAAGCAACAGAACGCACCTGCAGGTTTTTTGCATGCGTTTCTGTGGAGCCGTCTTCGCGTCGTCCAGGAGTGGGCGGGCGGTGAACGCGAAGCGTCTTGAATGAGTGTTTGAGCAAGCATCCCCGACATGTGTCGCACGCTCGTGCGATATGGGACGGAGTGGTGTTGGGTTGTACTGGGCCGTCTAGAGCCCTTCGAGGACGCCTCGGGAACATCCAGGGGGCCTTATGGAGCCCTCTTGGCGCTCACTGGGTCCGTCCTGGGGCCCGCTTGGGATGCCCAAAGCCCTCTTGGGTACAATTGGAGCCAGTTTGGGGCATTCGCGAAGCGATTTGGCGTTGTCTGGAGCTCTTGAGGTAACCTGGCGATGTGCTCGCCAGCATGGATCGCAGACAGTAGCCGATTGTACTGAGGATGTGCAAGCGATGTGTTACACCAATGCGGTGTACGGTATGAGGGGCAAGCTATGTGGTGCAAGCTGCGCAGTGCAAGAGATGTGGTGCAACCTACGTGGTGCACTCAACGTCTTGCAAGCTGATTGGTGTAAGCGATACGGCACAAACTATATGTCGCAAATTCGTGGTGCTGGATAGGTGATGCAATATACTTGTAAGCTGCGTTATACCATCTCCGTGATAAAGACTGCGCGGTGCAAGCAATGCTGTGAAACCCATGTGGTGCAAGATATGTGGCGCAAGCTATATTGTGCAATTCATGTTGTCTTGAAACTGCCAACTCCACTGCTCGCTCAAACACCCCATCCGCCCACCCGCAACAAGCTTGGCAAAACCCATCCGACAACGATGACGGCTCATGCTTGCCACTGGCTTGAGCATCTCTACGGCCGCGATGGCGCGCGCGCGCCCGCCCGCGCGAGGAGCGGCCAGCTGATTTGGCACAGCTGATGCGGCTGCGACGGCGCTTACAGATGGGACCTTCCCAGCGCGTCTGAAAGGCCGAGCTGGGGCGCGGGCACTTCACTGCACGTCGATGACTCGTGCGGGCGCGATATAATGATGACGTCGATAACGGCGGCAACGATGATGATAATAACGATGGTGATGGCGACGATGACAATTATGATGCCCATGTGTCGATGATTAAAATGAAAGTGCTGATTAATGTGGCAATGGCGGCGGTTGCCCATGACGATAACGGCGGTGATGCAATGGCGCTGATAAGTGAGATGAGACAATGAAATGAGCGCGCGCAGATAGTCAATCAAAATGAATATGATGGATTGAAAAATACTGTCGCCACATGTTGTTCAAGAACTCTCTTGAAGTGTTTCGATGACCAATGGTTAAGTGAGGAATTCGAGACACGCGCGTGGCGGCGCGTGCACATTTCCCGCGTAATATTAGTTGGTATCGCTCGTTCCTTCGTGTACTGGGCACATGCTATATCATCGCGGATGCACCGCGTGGTGAGATGATAATGAGGGTACTGGACGGGTTTGCTAAAGTCCAGTGTGTAAGAGAGAGAGAGAGACGCTGTGGTCGTCTTCGTCGTCGTCGCCAGTCCTGAGGAACTTCTGGAACGAGCAGAACACAATTCGTAGCCAAGTCGATCCCATTCCCTTCTTCCCCTCCCTGAAGGAGGGGGGTACGGTGGACACGGTGGTGGGCGCGGGGGAGGGATCCTGGGGGTCAGATTACCGACCCCCCCTGGGGTCCCAGCGGCCCTCCCTCCCCTCCCGGGTCCCCCTTGTGGACAGGAAGGACACGGAGGGGGCCCCTCCTGCGGGGAGGGTTTGGTTGACCCAAAACAAAAGGGGTCCAGCGACAAGGGGTGGTGCAGAAGATTTGGGGCAAGTGTATTGCTAATGCACTGCGCCGGAGAAGTGTCTTGCATTGTACTGCAAATCATGTATTTATTGCACGCGAAAGTCCAGCAACACATTTGCGCCCCGGAATATTGCACGCCCCAGATGTATTGCAACCCCACAAATCGATTGCACCAGATCTACTGCACCGCGCCCTTGTCGCTGCACCCCCTTTTGGGACAACCCGAGAGGGGGGGATCTTGGAGCGTGGCCCCAGGGGGGGGCCCTTTACCACCGTCCCCCGTGGCGCCTCCTGCCCTCAAACCGTTCTCTCCTCCGGGCCGGCGGCACCGGCCGCGAACAAAAAGGCGGGCGGAGGGACGACACGGGCGCAAAAAAAGATCACGAAGGGGAGGGGGGGGAGGAGCAGGAGGAGGAGAAAGGGAAGGAGGACAAGGAGGAGGAGGAGGAGGAGGAGGAGGAGGACAAGGACAAGGAGGAGGTGGAGTGCCAGCGGGACAGGGTGAGATGCGGACGGAGCGGGAGGACCCCCCGCAGCAAAGGACTGGCAGCGCATCACGGAGCGCCCTGCGGTGCCAGCCTGCGAGGATGGGCCCGTGCGAGCGGAGTGACTACAAGCCAGCTGGCTGGAGGCCTCCCAACTGTGGTCCGAGTAAATGGGGTCGGAGGAGTGCGCCGCATCGCCGATGCATCGCCAATGCATTGCCGATGCATCCGCGATGTGTCGGCAACGTCGGCGATGCATCGCCGCCATAAGCGTGGAGGAAACCGTGCGCCACAGCGAGCCGCATCGGCGATGCATCGGCGACGCGGCGCGACCCTTCGACCCCGCCTGCTCGGACCCCTATATGGGAGGCCTGGAATCTGGCGCACGACAAGGCGGGCGGCCGAGAGGAGGCGTGCTGACGGCCTGACGGTCTCCCAGCGCCTTGAACACGCTGAGGTAGTCGTCGACGAAGACGTCTCCCCGGAAGAACTCCCGGAACGCCTCCACCTCGCTGGAGCCGTCCTCTCGGGAAAGCGGAGGCATCAGAAGAAGAGACGGCCTGCACGTTGATTCACCAGCAAAGGACCCCTTAACCCTCTGGGAGAGGACCGAAGGTAGGAGGGCCAAAACATGAGGGATGGGAGGGGGTCTTTTCTGCAGGTGCATGAGACAAAACCGCCCAGCATGATCGCCAATGCGAAGACGGGGACCTCAGTGAGGCCACGTATTCATCGTGTTATTTGGATTGGGGGTCCTTTTTTGATGGGCCCATTTTCCACCACCACTGCCATATGTAGGAGAGGGAGAAGGAGGAGGAGGAGGAGGAGGAGGACACTCCTCATCCTCCCTTCTCCCCCGTCCTATGCATGGCAGTAGTGGTGGAAAACTTGCCCATCAACCTCGACGACTGTGCACCACACTTTGCGTGGAGGCGACAGTAAAAGCAACTCCATGGGGGTCACCAAAAGGTACCCATACCCCATACCGCTACTCCCTGGACTCCTGGACCTCTCCTGGGGTGCGTCCTGACCAGATCCTCGAGGCGAATCCAGCGGTGGCGACGACGGAGGCCCAGGAGGCCCCCCAACAAAAAGGGGAAAACGAGGGGCGGGTAGAGGAATGATTGGTACCTTTTCCTCCTCTGATCCATGGCAGATGTCCTGGTCCCCCGGAGAGGTCCACGCAACTCTCTCGGGGTCGGCGCCTGGACCCCCTGGCGGCGCCTCTGGCGCAGCTCCTGGAGCGCTCTCCGCGCGCCGAGGATGGGGGGGGGGCCGGCGCCGACCCGAGACGGCCGCGCGGACCTCCGGACATCTGCCTTCGTGTCGTCTGAGGTGCTGTTTGGGCTCGGCTTGACCGCACATGCTGCCCCGAGTCGCACGCCTCGGGCCCCTGCCTGTGGAAGCCTGAGTCGGTACAGAGACCTGCCTCACACAGAACTGCGCCTGCAAGCAGGGAGCCCCGCATCGGAAGAGGGCGAGGCGAGACAGCGGCAGCTCGCACTCGCACCGGGGTGCAGTTGCACAGGCTCTCCGAGCTGCGTCCAGCTGTGGCGACGAGGGCCCCCCCCCCCCCGAAGGACAGCCATCGCTGCCTCGACTGACGGAAGCCTGGGGCGGGGGCTCCTCTCCCCAGGGTCCTCGTCGAAGAACGAGGTCCGCACCACGGCCGCCAACCGCGGCCTTCCCTCGGCAGACCCCACGGCCTCTGGAAGGAAGCCGGCATGAACATCATAAACGTTAGGAGCTCCGCCCGGTTCTCTGGGATCGGGGCGGGGCCCCTCATCCCTGGAGCGCGGAGCGCGCCGGGAGAGGCGCCGGATGCGCCGCCAGGGGGCCCTGGCGCCGATGCAACAGATCCGCGCGGAGCTCCGAGAGTGTATATCTCCACAGTGCGGACGCGGCCGCGAGAAGCCCGCAACGTCTCGAGGGGGCTCGGGCGTTTCCGTCGGCTCCTGGAGGTTGTCCTGCCTCGGGATGCGTTCTGGCAGATTGAGCTCGCCGAGAGCGTTCTGGGGGTACCAGGATCGTCCCGAACGGGCGCCCGAGGCCTGACTTCCGACCCGGCAGCCAGACGACGAAAATCATGGGTTGTGACAGGCTCGTGCTTGCCGTCAGAGCCCTGAAAGTCCGCGCGCGAGGTGGAATTCGAGGGAACTCTCGAGGCACCCAAAACGCAATAACTTCTCAACGCCCGCGAGCAGTCGCCGCGAACCGCGCGCGGCGAGGCAGCCCAGGGCACCCTGCCGAAGATAATATGGTTTCTTGAGGCGCGTCCCCGCTGTTGTTTGGCCAATGTTCCACCACCGTTACCCCAGGTAAGACTGGGGAAAAGGGAGAATGGGAAGTCCTCCTCCTCCTCCTCCTCCTCCTCTCTCCTCCTCCTCCTCCTCCCCCTCCCCCTCCCCCTCCCCTCCTCCTCCTCCCCCTCCTCCTCCTCCTCCCCCTCCTCCTCCTCCTCCTCCTCCCCCTCCTCCTCCTCCTCCTCCTCCTCCTCCTCCTCCGCCCCCTCCGCCCCCTCCTCCCCCTCTGGCAGCAATGGTGGAACGCCAGACCACCCGCTGCAGCTGCCGTGCGTTCTCTCCTCCGAGCCTCGGCGTGGGCCTCGTCGACGGCCCGCGCCTGCTCCTCGGGGCGGCACGCGCGCCGGCTTCAAGGACCAAAACGCAGACCCGGACCAGCCCGGCCGCGCGAGATCCTGCAGGGCCCTGCAGGATCCTGAGAGGAGGAGGAGGAGGAGGAGGAGGAGGAGGAGGAGGAGAAAGAGGAGGATGAGGATGGGGATGGGGATGGGGATGGGGATGGGAATGGGGATGGGGATGGGGATGGGGATAAGGATAAGGATAAGGATGATAAGGATAAGGATAAGGATGATAAGGATGATAAGGATGATGATGATGATGATGATGATGATGATGATGATGATGATGATGATGATGATGATGATGCTGATGCTGATGATGATGATGATAATGATGATGATGATGGTGATGATGATAATGATGATGATGACGATGATGATGATGACGATGATGATGATGGTGCTGCTGCTGATGATGGTGATGATGATGATGATGATGATGAGTGAGGATGAGGATGCGGATGAGGATGAGGAGGAGGAAGTGGAGTGCGCGCTACAGTCAACCCGTCTGACAAGGTCGCACATTGTGAGGAAAATCCTGGAAGCCTCGCGCGGCAACTCGAGACCCGATGTAAGATGTACGTCAGATCCACGTCGGGTTCACCTCGGGCTCACGTGGGAGTACGTCGGAATGACGTCGGACTTACGTACGTCGGACTCACACCGGAGCCTAGCCGCGCGAACGTCGGCCTATAGCTGACGGAGCTGACGTGTGGACAAGAAAATACAACTATCGCGCGCCGCGCGAGGCCACCAGGATCTCTCCTCGTAACGCACGGTCAACGGCGGCGGGCGAGGGGGAGGGGGAGTGAGAAGGAGAAGGCCCTCTCGGAAGGCGGCGCGACTTCTCGAGAACCCTCGGGCCTTCTGAGGAGCGTTCCGTGTCTTGGGGGAGTTTGGGGGGCTTCCGAGCCTTCTCGGAAGGCCAGCCGCTTCTCACTTCCCACCCTCGCTCGCCGCCGACCTGCAGGATCATGCGGGATCCTGCGCGCTACAATCAACCCGAAGAATAAGGACGCACCATACTGATGCAGGGGCAGTGGAAGGCCATGTCGACACCTTGCGAGCGGGGCGCGGCCGGCGAGAGCGGCCAGGAATGGGTCGAAGGGGAAGGATGCACAAGGTAATCTCGGGGATGGACAGAGCCCCCTTTAGTAAAACGTGGTTTAGTGGAAACGACCTCGGGCCCAAACCTGGCGGGCGCAAGCCTGGAAAATAACGGCCGCGGTGCCCCCTCGAGAACTGATAACGGACAATTCACTAATCGACGTTAGGGTGGGGGTTCTGTCCACCCCCGATAATCCTGGAGAATTGCTCATCTTTGCTGTGCGGGTTGGCCGCAGCCCGGGCCAGCGCGGCCCCGGCTCTGCAGGCTCCGGCAGGCTCTTGCGCTCTGGGGCCCCCCCCTCTGCACACAGAGGCCAGCCCACAGGAAACCTCCCACAAGAGACCCAACCCCGAGACCGCAGGACGTCCGTTGAATTTTGGTGTGGGGACGCCATGCTCTCCATGGCAAAACCATCGAAACCCCACACGACCCAGGGCACCCCGGAGGCAGGCAGGGTGTCTCTGAGCATGGGCCCTCACTGTCGACCTCCGTCCCTTGAGCCCCGAGCTCCCTGCTCATCCAGCACCCCGGCCGCCTCGTGGCGACCAGCAGCAGCCCGCTCGGCCACAGGTCGCGGACGTACGTGGGCTCCTCGCGCGCAGGCCCTCAAGGCTCCCCGGACCCTCGGACGCGTGGAACAGAGCGGCACGCCAGAGGCTTCTCTCAGTGCTCGGCCCCGGATGGCCCTCTCGCCAGGCCCCTGGGCCGTCAACAGAACGACTCGGGACGAAACACTGGCTCGAGGGACAGGATCGGAACTTCTGGGGGCCGCGGACTAGAATTCGGTCGGGCATGTCCCCCATAAAGGCGGATTTGGAAGAACGATGCAAAAAATCCGAAAGAGCAATATAGAAAACTCGCCCCGAGACGATTTCTCGACTATGCGCTTGAATACTCCTGTAGAGGGGCATGCCCGACTTAAGACGACTAGAAAGATCAGGACATCGGATGTCTGACTCGTGAGCGTGTGATATTTGTCTTGTTATATTCGGCGTTTTGACATTGGGCGGACAGGGGGGGGGGGTTCTGGCTCCAGACCTCTGCCTAGTGCGACTGTTTGCAAGAGTGCTGCCTCTGGGGGAGGGACTCCACCCGCTCGAAGCAGGCGCCCAAAAAACAGCCCAAGATCCACTCCAGGGGGAGGGGGGGAGGAGGGGGGGGTGCGAGGGCCCCCGCCGATTGGCAAAACAATGAATAGAAAAACAACCACCTGGCTCCTCGCGTGATTACTTCCGTCCTGGTGGTGCTTGCCTCGAGCTCGAACTCTCGGGGGGGGGCCTCCTCTTCGGGCGCCAGGATGCTTCGCCCCAGGGGATGGGAGGGGACGTGTGGATGGGACAGGATCATTCGACGAGCGCGCTCCACTAATCGCAAAAGGAACTGCTCGCAAATGGCCTGGATCCGCAGCGGGGGATCTACGATCTATCACGCGGAGGCGAACCTATGATTCTCGGACGCTTTCGAGTGGGCGCTGTGCGAGCAGTGGAACGCGCTTGGTGAGTCGTGACGGATCTGGTCCCAGGGAAGTGGCCTGGAGCTCTGGGGCCACAGATGGTGAGCGTTTTCTTACTCGACGTTTCGACATTGGGCGGAAGGGGAGGGGGGAGGGGGGGGGTCTGGCTCTGGACCTCTGCTTAGTCCGACTGCTTGCAGCAGTGCGTCCTGTGGGGGAGGGACCCCACCCGCTCGAAGCAGGCGCCCAAAACAGCCAACTCCATGGGGGGGAGGGGGGGTGCGAGGGCCCGCGCCGATCGGCAAAACACGGAATAAACAACGATCACATGGAGCAAAGATCATCCTCGGATGCCTTCGTTGGAAGGAGGAACAAGAAACACATAAACATAAACTTTGGGCGCTCCGCGCGGACTTCTTGGATCCGCGCCGGACCTCCCCTCCCTGGCGCGCGGAGCGCGCCAGGGGCGGCGCCGGAGGCGCCGCCAGGGGGGCCCAGCGCCGATCCAAGAAATCCGCGTGGAGCGCCAAACGTTCATGTTTCTGTGGCTTTTCCTTCTCCGAGAATCAGAAAACGATCATGTGGAGCAGAGACCATCCTCGGATGCCTTGGTAGCTCTGCAGGCCGCCGCGGCCCCATGCCAGGCCCCTGGGCACGACGCCTGCGTCCCCCTCGCCCAGAGCCGCCGGGGGGGAGGGGGGCCAGGGCGGCCCTGGCCAGCACGGTGGTGGTGCGTTGGGCACCTGCTGTTAGGTCGGGCATGCCACCCTACAGGCGGATTTGGGCGAAAAACATATAAGAACAGCGAAGTCATATTCAAACAGGATCAAAAATAGTCCAACAATCGTCCCCGTCATTGCTACGTTTTGACCATTCTTGAATTTTCCCCCTATAGAAAGGAGGACGTGCCCGACTCAAACCGTCTGCGGCTCCGCGCGGATTTCTTGGGTCAGCGCTGGGAGCCCCCTCCCCGCCTCCTCCCTCGCCCCCGACTCACGGCGCGCGCACGGCGGGAGGGGGGCCCAACGCCGTCCCGGGAGGAGGCGGAGGAACGTTAGGGTGGGGACCGGCTCATGGGGAAACATCGAGCTGGAGTCGGCGATACATCGCCGATAGATCGGCGAGATTCCCCGAATAGCCGGTCCGCAGTATCGGGTCCCATGTCGGCGAGGAGTGGACGGTTGGGGGTCGATTCGCCCCCCTAAGCGTATCCCCTCCAGACGTTGCCCCTGACCGAAGCTCTGTCCATGCCGTTCTTTGCTCTCCCATCCTCGGACACCGCGCCCCCGGCCAGCACCTCGTGCAGCAGCGTGCTGTCCCGCAGCTCCCGCACCTGTAGGACGACACCCACTGAGCTGCACGCTGACACCATCGGTTCAGTGCCGTGCACAACCTGGGCCCAGGACTGGCGAGTGCGCCTTCCTGGCATGGCCAACACGACGTGCACACCTTGTGGATGCCATGACAGTGGACACCCTAACAATCCGATCATTGGATTAAACATGTGATTCAAACTGTTTGAAGCATGTTGTAAAAATGTTTGAAACCTGATTGTTACATGTTTAAACATGCTTTGAACATGTCTTAGACATCTGGATATTATTTGGCAACATGCTTCCTCTCCATTGATCGTCCTCCACAATGCACACCAGTCTGTACGGCAAGCTCGTGTCGTGCCGACGGCGGCAGTGGTTCCTGACGCCGCGGGGATCGTTCAAACTTGAACGATCGGCCATTTCCGAAACGTCAGATCCTTCAAAATTGGACGATTGTGGGTCAGCGGCGACGTCCAGCGTTGAAGGCTGGCGGCGGCGTCGCCGCCGGTCGACACGACGTGATACTACGGGTGCTCAAGGCTTACGACGTTGGAAGCTTGGAAATGGGCACCAACACCAACACAGGTGGGTGCCTCCACTGGGGGAAGATGACGCTAGACTTTGGCATCGGTGGTAACTGTTAGGCCACCCAGGAAGCCCGAATGCTGCCACCACCACCGAGATCGGGATCATCCTCCCTCGGTGGAGGCACACCGCCGACATTAGTGGTGGTGCCAAACTCTGGGCTTCCGAAAGACGGACCTGGCCAGGACCGGTGTCGGCGCAAGCCCAAGCATCCGAGGCATTGCTATCTCGAGGCCCGGGTGCCCGAGAAGCCCCGACCCTTCCCCCAGGGCCAGCGTCTCACCCCGAGCTGCTGTTGGACGGCCCCAGCGCACGGCGATGACCCCTTCTTGAGGCCCAGGGCGGAGGAAAAGCCTCCACCTCGAATATTCTTCCTGGGCGTCGCAGGTTTGGCCCTCTCGGCCCCCACGAGCTCCCTGGACTGTCCTTGGACTCGCCACCAGCCGGACGTCCATTCCCCGTGCCTCGTTCGACCTCGTGCGTGCACTTTTTTCGTAGGGTGACACTCCTCCTCCTCCTCCTCCTCCTCCTCCTCCTCCTCCTCCTCCTCCTCCTCCTCCCTCTCCTCCTCCTCCGCCAGATCATCCCCCTTCCTCCTTCTCCTCCTCCTCCTCCTCCTCCCCCTCCCCCTCCTTCTCCTCCTCCTTCTCCTCCTCCTTCTCCTCCCCCGCCTCCTCCTCCTCCGGATCATCCCCCGTCCTCCTCCTCCTCCTCCGGATCATCCCCCTTCCTCCTCCTCCTCTTCCTCCTCCTCCTCTTCCTCTTCCTCCTCCTCCTCTTCCGCTTCCTCCACTTCCTCCTCCTCGTCCTCCTCCTCCTCCGCCTCCTCCTCTTCTTTATCGATGGTCCTCGCCAGGAAAAACGCACACCCCCGGGCGACGCCCAAGACTGTCCCCGGAGAGGCAGCCTTCCAGGCCCGAGCCACATGCCTGCTGGCCCCGGGGCGCCCGTGGCGGAGCGAGCGCGGCCCCCAGGCGCAGAACCGCCGGAGGCAAATTCTGGGCCTCGGCAGGCATACTATTAGGTCGGGCATGTCCCCCTACAGGCAGATGTTGGAGGAAAAATAACACGTACTCTAAATAATCGTCCCCAGACTATGTTTGGACTATTTTTGAATACTCCTCCTGTAGAAGGGCGTGCCCGACTTACCCATACTAGAAGGGAACAAAAAAAACAGCATAAGCATAAACTTTTGGCGCTCCGCGCGGATTTCTTGGTGGAGCTGCGCTGGACCCCCTCCCAGGCGCACGGCGCGCGCCAGGGGCGGCGCCAGAGGCGCCGCGGGGGGGGCCAAGCGTGGATTCGACAAGTTCGCGCGGATCGCCAAAAGTTTATGATAAACGGCGTTCTTTTCCTTCGGCGTACGAGGACCGACCACACCAATGATTAAAACGAGCTCGCGCTCAAAACGAGCAGCGAAACGAAGACCAGCGTTCAAAACAAGCGCACAGACCGAGACTGGTGCCATGCGGCGCAAAACAGCGGCGCGAGGTGTTCCAAGCAACAGCAAAACACGAAATGACACAAAAACGAAAAACGTAACGAGAAGCACGACAAAGGCCACAACCAAGCTGAACAGAGTTGTGGCAGGAGAGCCCAACATCGAATCGATAACGAAATTAATCGGATCGGCGGACATCGGCAGCCGAATCGGGAGGAGCCGAATCGGCGGACGTTTGCAGACTAGCAGGCCTCCGTTGAGAAGTCGGAATCCGACTCTGGGAATCCAAACCTTAATCGAATCGGAATGGGAAACAATCGGAATCGAATCGAATCGGATGGGTTGAAATGAGCCCTGTTGCTAGAAGAGGGGACACAACTGCATAAACACAAAAGTTTGGCGCTCCGCGCGGATTTCTTGGATCCGCGCTGAGCGCCAGGAGCTCATTTTTCTGGCGTGTTTCCTTATTCGACTGCTGTGGTCGGCCCTTGCCACATACACACACCGATGGAGGTCTGGCCATCGCGTTTGCTGGCCCCGCCCGAGCGGCGCCGGCTGCACCGGCGCGCCCGTGTCGGGCAGCGCCCGCGGGCGGGCCCGGCGGAACGGCAGCTCCTCCAGCGGTTCAGAGACGGTTCCTCCGTTTCACCCACTCGTCCTCGTCCTTCGCCTCATGCCTATGTTTCTCCTCCTCCGACGACGACAGTGGCGGCCCCACATGCTGAGAATGGCGCGGGGGAGTCGTCAGCTGGAGCGGGAGCCCGAGCAGAATTGAGGAGAAGGATGATGGGAAGTGGGGAGTGGGAGCAAAAGAGGGTCGGCGGCGAGCGATGGGGAGAATGGAAATTCTGGTTAGAACGGACCCCAGGGGAGTTCCAGCGCTCAAAGAACTCCGCTTGGAGCTCCGAAATACTATCTGCTGAATGCGCTTCTTTTTTCTTCTAGCCTGATCGTCTTCTTCTCTCTCCGCTTCTGCGGTCGGCGGCGGCGAGCGAGGGGGGGGAGTGAGAAGGAGAGGGCCTTCTCAGAAAGCGGCGGGACTTCTCCGAGGCCGTCGCGCCTTCTGAGAAGTTGTTGTCTGTCTTCGGGGAAGGCTTAGAGAACTTCTCGGATGGCCGGGGGACTTCCGAACCTTTTGAGAAGGCCTCCTCCTTCTCGCTTCCCCCCCTCGCTCGCCGCCGAGATGGGGCCCCGATGGGATTAGACCCTCCAGGAGCGAAACAAGGGCGCACACGCACATGAATCCACGTGGCCTTCGAAAGTGCGCACTGCGCGAACGCTCATCGCACGAGGCTGGTCTCGCGGACGTGGAGGCCGTCATCGTGTACGTGGCTGGGCGCGTACGCCCTTCGTGGGCACCCATAAGACCAAGGACGCCTTGGCAGACTTTGACCCTGAAGCTCTGGAGCCATGGAGCCCTGGGCGAAGGAGGCTGCCCGCCTTCACTCCTCACTGCACCGACCTTGCAGGCGTGCTGCAACGGATTTTTGCGTGGATTTCCGGCAATTCAAAGCCCCGAAACGGCGAATCAAAAACGACATGAATTTCGCGTGGACATGTTTGTTTTCTCCATTCCTGGCCCAACAAAAAAATCGCCCGAAATTGACCTCGAAATCCGGAACGAAATTCTCCAGGACACTCCGGGCCCATTCTATCGTTTTCCGAACGAAATCCGCTCTGCGATGCTGGCGCCATGACACTCCGACGGAAAACTCACCAATCCCGACGCCGACTGTACGGTAAATCTTCGCGCTACGAGCGATGACCGGGCAACGCACGTGAACAATCCAAAGGTCGGATGTGCTGTGCGAGACACTGGGCCGATCCAACAATTAGGAACACGAGGAGGGGGGAGGGAGGAACTGGAGCATGAGGAAAGACCCATGTTGAAGCCCTCCGGCCCTCTGGGCGGAGGTAGCTTGGAGCGGCTCCTATTCTATTCCCCTGCGGGGAGGGGAGCCAATCCCTCCTCCCCCCCGGACCTGGACTGCGGGGGACGGCGGGTAGGCAGAGCGCCCAAGATGGCTCCACAAGGACCTCGGAGAGTCCAAGACGGCCTCCAAGATGGTTCAAGATAGCGCCAGATGGCACCCAGAATGTCCCAAGAAGTCCCAGGACTCCTCCAAGACGGGTTCGAGTGGGCTGGGGACCTCCCCAGGACGCTCCCAGGAGGTCCACTCCCTCCTTCGCTCACGAAGGCTTTCCGAGGCATCAAGGTGGCGCCAAGAGGGCCCAGGATGGTCACCGAGAGGGGCCCAAGACGGCCCCAAGGCAGCCCCGATAGCGCCCCTGGAGCGCCCCAGGAGTGCCCCAATGGGGCGGCGTTGGGGGCTCCCGCGGGGCGAGGCTGATGAAGGATCCTCTTCGGTCAACAAGAACAGTGAAACCCAACAATGGTCGTGAACTTTCTTGAGTCTTTCTCGGGGGCATCTTTGGGAGGCGTTTGCCGCAAGAGGGTTCTGGGAGGACCCCAGCTGCTTTACAGTGGGGGCCAGTCCACAAGAAACCTTCCACAGGAAACCCAACCCTGAGATCCCATGACGTCCACTGATTTTTGGTGACAGAGCGTCACGCTTTCCATCGCAAAACCATCGAAACCTAAGAAACCCAGAGCACCCTGGAGGCAATCAGGGTGTTTCTTGGCATGGGCCCGCACTGTAAGATGGCCTCCTGTATGGCGCAAGATGGTCCAAGCTGGCTCGAGATGGCCTCCAGGATGCCTCCGTGAGGTGGTGGCCTTCTCGCTCGTTCGCCTCCCATGGGCCCACGAGGCCTCCAAGATGGCCCAGACTGGCCACCAGGAGGGGCCCAAGATGGCCCCAAGACGGCCCCAGGAGCGCCCCGAGAGCCCTGCGAGAGGGCCCCAGGGAGCGACTCTGGGAGCCCCAGTGGGGCGAGGCTAATTCAGGACAACCCCTGTTTGACTGATATCCTCGAAGGTGTTCCCCAGAAGGCTTCCAAGGACCCCGAGAGGGTCCCAAGAAGGCCCCGAGGCGGCACCAAGAGGCGCCCAAGGTGGCACCAAGTGGCCCCCGAGAGGCCCCCAAGCGGCCCCGAAGATGGCCCAACAGGCCCCGAGAGGCACCCACGACGCCCGAAGAGGCCCTTGGGACCGCCAAGAAACCTGAACGACGCCCTCAGAGACTCCAGCAAGCCTCTTGCCCTTCTGCTCGGCCTCCTCTGCTGACCTCGGCCTCCGCTCCTTTCCGGACCTCTCCTGGGGTGCGGTATGACCAGAATCTCGGGGCGAATCCAGCGGTGGCGAGAAGCGCCTCCCAGGAGACCCCAACAAAAAGGAAAACGAGGGCCGGGTGGAGGTACATGGGTACCTGTCGCCCTCTGAGCAGCGGAGAGGCCGTTTGAGGGGAACGAAGAATGACATTAAGCATAAAAACTCGGAGGTCCACCCGGTCTCTCGTATCGGCGCTGGAGGCGCCGCCAGGGAGATCCAACGCAGATCCGGGAAATCCGCGCGGACCTCAGATTTTTTATGTTTATGCAATTCTTGGTTCCCTTACATTCCCTCTAGACCCGCTTCCCCCATGGAGACCATTTTTTGGGAATCGGCGATAACCCGGGGTCTCCAGGGGGGGGGTGCGGGGAGGTGGGGGCCGATAACCTAACCTTCGCGTTGTGGGCAGCGCTGCAAATGCCCGCGCCCCCCCACCACCCATGACCTGCACAAACGGCAAGGTTAGGTTATCCTTGGGGGGGGGAGGCGGCGGGGCAAGCCCCATAACCCGGGTTATCGCCGGACCCCAAACAAAAGCAATCTCGTGGCGACTTCGGACCGCCGACTCCTCTCCGGCGGGGGGCGCCGCCTCCTCGCCGCCCGCGCCGGCCGCTGCGGCCCGCCCCGCCCGCCGCCTCGCCGCCCGCGGCGCGGCCACCCGCGCCGGCGCGGGGGCGCAGAACGGCGCGCCGCCGTTGGCCCACGCCTCTGTGGTTAGGTCGGGCAGGTCCCCCTTCTGACTGCCTACCAGACCACCCCAACCCAACCCGAAGACCCGAATCTGACCCGACTTTGGGATTGGGGGGGGGTTCGGGTTCCATGTGTTTTTTCAATGTTTCCCGACCGCCCCCCACTGGAAATGGAGACAAAATTGAGACCTTCGGGTTGGGTTGGTGTGGTTTGGTAGGCCGTGGCCTACAGGCGGATTTTGTAGGAAAACTCAAAAACAGTTCAACAGAAACGCAGAAAAAAAAAAATCCTCCCCAGACTATGTTTTGATCATCTTTAGCTACTCCTCCTGTAAAGGGACACGCCCGACTGAACTCAACGGACGCCCGGAAACGGACGGAAAGCGGCGGCGCTCCCGGTGGGAACATCAGACAAGGCAGGCCTTCCCAGAAGGCGGCGGGGCTTCTCTGAAGCCTTCCGGTCTCCCGAGACGTATTTCCCTTTCGGAGAGGGCTTAGGAAACTCCTCGGAAAGCCAGAGGCCTTCCGAGACATCTGAAAGCCCGCCCCTTCTCAGTTCCCTCCCGATTCTGGCGACTTCATTCAAGGAACAAGCAATGGCACGCCGCCGAGTCGGCATAAGCCACGGCATGCACAGGCTCCACGCGCCAGGGAGGGGGGTCCAGCGCCGATTTAGGAAATCCGCGCGGACCTCCGAGAGTTTATGTTAAGAGTTTATGTTAATGTTAATGTCATTGTTTAGTCCCCGACAAATGGAATAGAAGTTGGGTTGTTCTTTTTGCTGCTCACGTTTGGTCAGTATCGGCACCACAGCATTTCAGCACAAGCCACTTTCAGCGCAGAGCTGAGCAGATCTTAAGGCCTGCACCCTCTGGGGGCGCTGAGAAGAATTATAGCCAGAGTTCAGTCCCCAAACGGCGCTGCTTGAACCAATGTGACAACTAAACAAGTTCGCGCGTTCTCCTGCTTCTGATCCGCCTGCGCCTTCGGCGTTGTCGCCTAACTTTCCGTGATCGCCGTCGTCGTCCTCCCTAGCATCCACAGATTTGTCCTTCTCGTCCTCGCCCTCCCCCATTCCATTACACCTCCTCCTCCTCCTCCTCCTTCTCCTCATCCCACTTCTCTCTTCCCCCCGCTCCGTCTCCTCCTCCTCCTCCTCCTCCTCGTCGTCCTCCTCATCCTGATCCTCCGCCCCTTCCGCCTCCCTTCTCCTCCTCCTCGTCCTCCTCCTCCTCGTCTTCCTCTGCATCATCGCCCTTCTTGTCATCCTCTTCCTCCTCGTCGTCCTCCTCCTCCTCATCTTCCTCCTCCTCCTCCTCCTCCTCCTCGTCATCCTCCCCCTCCTCATCCTCCTTCTCTCCCTGTATCTCCTCATCTCACTCTTCCTCGTCCCCCTCCTTATACGAAATCCTCTTCGTGCTCCTGGTGTTATCTTCCGTCACACTCATACACTTGAATACTACTCTCCTGTGTCCCCTGATAACGTCAGGAAGATGTTCGCCCCAAACCCTCACCGTACTGTTTTCTCACACACCACATTCCCAATACTTAGGTTGTACCTTGGGCTTTTATTCAAAAAGTTGTTCCCGCTAAGACGATGGTCTAGTGTTTGAATTTCCGATCGTTCCGAATCGCGCTCCCGCTACAACGATGGCGTCATTTCCGCGATTCCGCTCGATCCGACTCGAGCTCCCGCTGCAGCGGTGGCCTCATTTCTGCGCTTCCAGTCGTTCCGAATCGTGCTCCCGCTGCAGCGCTGGCGTCATTATTTCCAATGCAATGCCATGCCACGGCATGCAATGCAATGTTATGTGGTGTTCTGCTGTGCGATGCTACGCCTCCAGCTACAGTGCTAGGACATAGAGTGCTTGACTACGCAAGGCCACGCCATGCTATGACATACTAAGCTTTGCCGTGATCTTCTACGCCCTGCTATGCCGCGCTCTACGATGCATCGCGCACCTTCCCGGGATCATTGCCCTGATCGACATCCGACTGCGCGAATTGAGAGGGGATCTACGCCATGGTAAGGGACGGGAGGGAGAGGTAGGACGTCAGATATGACGCGAGCACACCTAGCTTGTCCTCCTCCCCCTCCTCCCCCTCCTCCTTCTCCTCCTCCTTCTCCTCCTACTCCTCCCCTCCCTGCTCCTCCTCCGCCTCCTCTTCGGACTGCTCATCCTCCTCGTCCCCTCATTCCTCCTCCGCATTACCCTCCTCCTCGTCCTCCCCGATGTCCTTCTCCTCCTCCTCGTTTCGGAGATGTCTCAGGCGAAACGAACGAGACCACCTCGCCCGCAACATCTCGGAGCCCCGAATTGCGAGGATGTCTCAAGCGAATCGGGCCAGAATATCAGACCTCAGAACTGCAAGGGTGTCTCAGGAGAAACGAGCTGGACCGCCTCTCGCGCGGCGTCTCGGCGCTCTCTTCTCCTCGGCTCCTACCCCCCCCCTGCCTCCTTCCTGCCCGCCGCGTTCTCGCTCGAGGCATCCCCGCGACTTGCTCAAGCGTGCCCCCCCCCCTCCCCGACAAGCCCCCTGCAACTTACTAAGGCAGCGTGCTCGCGCCTCGGCGCCCGCAGCCTCCTCCGTCGGGCCGGGCCAGGGGCCCAGACCTCTCCCAGGAAGCAGCTCGGCAGCAGACGTATCGTCCAGTGGTTCGTGTGCGTCCGACCCCCTCCTCGCTCCTCTCGCCGCCCTCTCGGAGTCCAGAATGTCGAAGATGTCTCCAGCGAAACGGGCCAGGCCACCTCTGGACGGGCATCTCGGAGCCCAGGGTTGCGAGGACGTCTTCAGCGAGACGCGCCAGACCACCTCGCGCACATGTGCTGAGAGCCCAGGACTGCAAGGGTACTTCAGGCGTGAAGAGCTGGACCGCCTCGCGCACATCTTCGAGGATCCTGGAGCTGCGAGGATGTCTCAGGCGAGACGGGCTGGACCACCTCGCGTGCCACATCTGGGAGCGCAGAGTTGCGAGGATGCCTCAGGCGGCGCCCAGACCACTCCTGGAGGACTATTCGACAACAGATGTGTAATCAAATGATTCGGTTGGTTCTGACCCCTCCTCTTTCCTTTCTCCTCCCCCTCGGACCCCAGAGCTTCGAGGATGCAGGATGTCTCAGGCGAAAATGGGCCAGACCTGAAGGGGCCCCAGGACACACAAATAAATACACACAAACAAAACTATTCACCATATGTTCCCATATGTTCTGGGATTGTTTGTCTTCCCCCCAATTCCCATATTTTCCAATATTTTCTGGGGAGTCGACGATTAATTGTGTTTGTGTGTTTCTTTCCCTCCCGACCGAAGACCACCGAGCCCGCAGCACCTCGGAGCCCCGAGTTGCGAGGATGTCTCAAGCGAAACGGGCCACACATCTCGCGCACACTTTCTCGGAGCTCAGAGTTGCAAGGATGTCTCAGGCGAAACGAGCTGGTCCACCTCTCGCGCAGCATCTCGGAGCTGAGAGGCGTCTCGGATGTCTCAAGCGAAAGGCGCCAGACCACCTCTCGCGCGGTAGCTTGGAGCTCAGAGTTGCGAGGATGCCTCACGAGAAACGCGCTAGACCACCTCGCGCGCGGCGTCTCGGAGCTTAGAATTGGGAGGATGTCTCAGGCGAAACGCGCCAGACTTGCGCGCGGCAGCTTAGAGCGTAGAATTGTGACGATGTCTCAGGCGAAACGCGCCGGCCCACCTCGCGCGCGGCGTCTCGGAGCTTCAAGAATTGGGAGAATGTCTCAGGCGAAACGCGCCAGACCACCTCTCGCACGGCATCTCGGGGCCCAGAGTTTCGCGGATGTCTTAGGCGAAACGGCCCCGACCGCCTCGCGCGCGGCGTCCCGGAGCCCAAATGACATGGGATGTCTCAGGCGAAACGGCCAACCCCGGACAACTCTCAGGCGAAACGGCCCGTACCACCAGATTTTTGCGGATGATGTCTCTGCTCCCGTTTCCAACGGCCAGAGTTAGTTCTATCACGACAGCACCCCGTTCAGCAAGCTGTTTGGGGAAAAAGACTCGCTAATCCCCTCCTGCCCCCTATCCTTAGGTCAGGCATGTCCTCCTACAGGCTGATATTCGAGGAATAAATGTGTCAAAACATAGTTAACAAAATGATCAAACAAAAAAATAAGAAATCGTCCCCATATGTCTTGCCTATTCTTGGATATTCCTCCTGTGGAGGGACGTGCCCGACTGTCCGACTTGAGGGTACCCTCGATGCCCAACAACAGCGGCCACTGTCGAGCACGGCGGCCTGCTGCCTCAGAGTGGACAGCGTTCGCTGAGGGCCACCGACAGCGAGCCACGTTCAGAGGGAGCAGGAAATCCCCAGGAGGAGGAGAAGGAAGAGGAGGAGGGGGAACCCCAGGAGGAGGAAGAGGGGAGGAGGAAGAGGAGGAGGAGGCGAGTCCCGTTCACAGGGAGCAGGAACCCCAGGAGGAGGAGGATGAGGAGGAGGAGGAGGAGGAGGGGGAGGCGAGCCCCGCTCACAAAGAGCAGGAGCCGCAGACCCCCGACGTCGTGACTTTCTCAGAACGTCGACCCCCAGAGATCAAGGGGCCTTGGGACACACACAACTAAATGCACACAAAGAATAGGATCCCCAATAGTTGCTCATATCATCGGGGTTTTCGTCTTCCCCCCCACTGCCCATATTTCCTAATATTTTTCATAGAAATCGACGGTCAATTGTGTCTGTGTTTGTTTTCCCCTCCTGAAGGAACCCCAGGCCCCCGGCGTCGTGATTTTGTGAGAACGTTGACCACCCGAGATCTCGGCCCATTCTCCAGGACTGGTTTCTCAACCCGAGTCGTCTGTTCCCGGCCACGAGGGCCGGTAAGGGCCCCGCGAGAGGCCGAGAATAACGAAAAAGCTCCTGTCCGAGTTTTTCCATGACTTGAGGGGGTCTGGGAAGGCAGCAGGTCGTTGCACCCATTCTCCACGTACCCACTTCGATTTACCCCAAAGTTGATGTACCCCAAATCTCATGTCCCATCGAATCTGCGAAACATACCTACAATGGTCAGTGGTAGATCTATTCACTACTCCACGTTTTTCCTTATGGGCTCAACGAGAGAATAAATTTTCGGGCGAATCAATGATGTGGTCGATCCCTTGCTCGAAAGGCAACCAATCTTCGTACCCCTTCTTCCCGTACGGCAGGTCCGTGTCGTGCCGACTTCGGCGCTGGCTTCTGACATCGGAGGGATCGTTCAGCCTGGAACGATCGGACGTTTCCAAAACGTCAGATCATTCAACGTCGGCCGATTCTGGGCCGCCAGCGGCGCTCCAAATCGAACGCCCACGGCGGGGTCACCGCCAGTCGACACGAGGCGAGCCTAGAAGAAGAACAAAACGCCATAGACTGGAACTTTCGGCGCTCCACGCGGGTCTCTTGGATCTGCGCTGGCCCCCCCTCCCTGGCGCGGCGCGCCAGGGACGGTGCCGGAGGCGCTGAAGGGGAGGCCCAGCGCAGATCAAAGAAATCCGCGCGGAGGAGCTCCCTGTAGGGAAACGTGTGAGGTGTGTGTGTGTGTGTGGGTGTGTGTGTGTGCCAAAATGGGTGTGGTGGGCGCATGCGAAAGCAGCGACTGGGGCCGGTGGAGCTCCCTGTAGGGCACTGAAACGTGTGAGGGGTGTGCCAAAAATGGGCGGGGTGGGCGCATGCGAATGCAACCACTGCGGCCGTCGGTGGAGCTCCCTACAGGACCGCGAAGAGTGTGAGGGGTGTTCCAAAATTGGTCCGAGCGGTGTGCGAATATGGGCGCGGCGGGCGCATGCGAACGCAGCCACTGGGGCCGCCGGGGGAGCTCCCTGTGGGGCCACGAAACGTGCGGGGTATATATGCCTTCATGGGTGCGGTGGGCGCATGCGAACGCAGCCACTGGGGCCTTCGGTGGAGCTCCCACGGGGCCACCAACACATGTGCGGGGTGTGCCAAAATGGGCGCGGTGGGCGCATGCGAACGCAGCCGCTGGGGCCGTCGGTGGAGCTCCCTGTGTGGCCACCAAACGCGTGAGGGTGTGCCAACATGAATGCGCTGGGCGCATGCGAACGCAGCCACTGGGGCCGTCGGTGGAGCTCCCTATGGGGCCACGAAACATTTGAGGGGTGTGCCGAAACAGGTACATGCGGAGGGCAGAGGGGGAGGAGGAGGAGGAGGAGGAGGAGGAGGAGGAGGAGGAAGGAACGAAGGAAGGAGTGAGTGACGCGGGGTGCTGTCTCTTCAAAACTAAGACCCAACACCACAGGATGGTTCGGGAAAATGCACACGTCCGAGCGATTAGAAGAAGAACAACACATAAACATACATGTTCTTGGATCCGCGCTGGGCCCCCCTTCCCTGGCGCGCAGAGCGCGCCAAGGGCGGCGCTCGAGACGCCGCCGGGGGGGCCCAGCCGCGGATCCGAGAAACCCGCGCGGAGCGCTCAAAGTTTATATGTATGTATATCTGTTCTTCTTCTAGCGATAAGTCGGGCGTGTCCCCCTGCGGGGGGGTTTTCGATGAACAATCAAAAATACTTTAAAATACTCCAAGGCAGTCAAAAAATACTAGAAACATAGTCCCCAGACTATTTTTCCACTACTTTTGAATATTCCTCCTGTAAGGGGCCGGGCCCGACTTAATCCTAGCGATGTCAAGGTTTCGATCGCCCCGAGCGCCGCGACCGCCGCGGCGGCCAGGGCGGCCCGGCGCGCGGCGCGCATCGCGCGCGCGGCGCGCGGTTGGGCGCCCCGCCGCCGCTCTCGGCGCGGGGGGAGGCAAGACGAGGCCAGAACAAGGACAAATTAGGGTGAGGACGAGGGTCAATTCGGGTGAGGACACATCGAGAAGAAAGATCGGGCGAGGACGAGAATAACTTCGGGCGAGGAAAGATTCGGGCAAGGACGAACCGGGAAGCTCTGAGATCTGGTGGCTCTGGAGAATGTCTCGGGCGCCACGGCCTTCTCAGAGCGTGCGTTCCGGAACGAGCAGGAAAGGATTTTTGCTCGTCCCAGCCCCGTTCGACGTTCGAGGAAGGGGAGTCGGTCGGACGTGGCATTGCAGCAGTCTGTGTGGCGAGCGTGCCGGAGAGGGGGGGGAGGGTGACGAAACCAGGACGAGGGCAGTTTCGGGGGAGGGCAAATTTGTAGATTCCCTTCCTTGTCCTCCTGCTCCTCCTGCTCCTCCTCCTCCCCCTCAGCCCCCCCCAGCCGCGCGCGATGTAAACTACGAGTTGAGAGATCGCGAATGTGCCGCCGTTCCCGCAAAGCGGAGAAGACCTGGCGGGCAGTCTCTGCCTTCGCCCACGGGCTCCCGCGTATGGCATGAACTACTGACTGGCAGATCGAGAAGCTCTGAGATCTGGCGGCTCTGGAAGATGTCTCGGGCGCCGCGGCCTTCTCGGGGCGCTCCGGAACGCTCTGAGAGCGTTCCTGAACGCTCCGCGAGCGGATCTCTGCTCGTCCCAGCCCCGTCCGAAGAGGGGGTCGGTCGGGCGTGGCATTGCAGCAGTCTGTGTAGCGAGCATGCAGGAAAGGGGGGGAGCAAAGGGGGAGGGAGGGCGGGATGGATGGGAGGGGGAGGGGAGGGGGAGGGGGGGGAAGGGGGAGGGGAGGGGGGAGGAGAGAGGAGGAAGGAGGAGGAGAGAGAGGAGGAGGAGGGAGGAGGAGGAGGAGGAGGAGGAGGAGAGGAGGAGGACGAGGAGGAGGACGAGGAGGAGGAGGAGGAGGAGGAGGAGGAGGACGAGGAGGAGGAGGAGGAGGAGGAAGAGGGAGGATTGAAGACAGGAGAGGGAGGGGAGGGACGGGGGATAAGGGGGGGTCCAGCGCCGATCCAAGAAATCCGCGCGGACCTCAGAAGGTTGATGGTTCTGCAACTGTTGCTCCCCAGTTAGGCTTGCCTCAGGAATTCTTACTGCTGCAACTGTTGCTCCCCAGTTAGTCTTGCCTCAGGAATGGTTCTGCAACTGCTGCAACAGTTGGGCTTTGCCTCAGGAATTCTTACTTCTTTCTATGAGCAAGCAATAGGTGGGCGACAACAAGTGGACTCCTCAGAAGTCGGGCGGGCTTTTGAAAAGCCCTCCGCCATCTCAAAGCCCGCCGCCTGCTCGGAAGCTACGCAATGAGAGCATATACTCACACGCACCCTCCGACGAATCACCCTCGGTGTACCAAGTCGGTGGCTCGCAGCGATGATTGATACAACACCATCCGGTGATAGAAAAAGAATGACCCTGCGACGTGCCCAATGCTTTCTACACATGTGGCGATTAAATTCAGGACCGCTCAATGCAAGCCCCCCAGGGGGCGGCGAGGTTCCGAGGTGGTCCACGTGGGACGTACCTCCGCTGGGCCTCCCAGGAGCCCACGAAAGTGGCGACGGTTGCGCAGATCGCAAGCATCCCCAGGGGGCGGCGAGGTCCCGAGGTGGTCCGCGTGGGACGTACCTCCGCTGGGCCTCCCAGGAGCCCACGAAAGTGGCGACGGTTGCGCAGATCGCAAGCCCCCCAGGGGGCGACGAGGTCCCGAGGTGGTCCGCGTGGGACGTTCCTCCGCTGGGCATCCCAGAAGACCACGAAAGTGGCGACGGTTGCGCAGATCGCAAGCCCCCCAGGGGGCGGCGAGGTCCCGAGGTGGTCCGCGTGGGACGTACCTCCGCTGGGCCTCCCAGGAGCCCACGAAAGTGGCGACGGTTGCGCAGATCGCAAGCCCCCCAGGGGGCGACGAGGTCCCGAGGTGGTCCGCGTGGGACGTTCCTCCGCTGGGCATCCCAGAAGACCACGAAAGTGCCGACGGTTGCGCAGATCGCAAGCCCCCAAGGGGGCGGCGACGTCCCGAGGTGGTCCGCGTGGGACGTACCTCCGCTGGGTCTCCCAGGAGCCCACGAAAGTAGCGACGGTTGCGCAGATCGCAAGCCCCCCAGGGGGCGGCGACGTCCCGAGGTGATCTGCGTACGACGTACCTCCGCTGAGCCTCCCAGGAGCCCACGAAAGTGGCGACGGCTGCGCAGATCGCAGCCCCCCCAGGGGGCGGCGAGGTCTCGAAGTGGTCCGCGTATGACGTACATCTGCTGGGCCTCCCAGAAGACCACGAAAGTGGCGACAACTGCGCAGATCGCAAGCCCCCAAGGGGGCGGCGACGTCCCGGGGTGATCTGCCTATGACGTACCTCCGCTGGGCATCCCAAGAGCCCACGAAAGTGGCGACAGTTGCGCAGATCGCAAGCATCCGCCGGGGGCGGCGAGGTCTCGAGGTGGTCCGCGTGGGACGTACCTCCGCTGGGCCTCCCAAAAACCCACGAAAGTGCCGACAATTGCTCAGATCGCAAGCCCCTTAGGGGGCTGCGAGGTCCCGAGGTGGTCCGCGTATGACGTACCTCCCTCGGCTGGGCCTCCCAGGAGCCCACGAAAGTCGCGACGGTTGCGCAGATCGCAAGCCCCCCATGGGGGCGGCGAGGTCCCGAGGTGGTCCGCGTGGAACGTACCTCCGCTTGGTCTCCCAAGAGCCCACGAAAGTGGCGACGGTTGCGCAGATCGCACGCCCCCTAGGTGGCGGCGACGTCCCGAGGTGATCTGCGTACGACGTACCTCCGCTGGGCCTCCCAAGAGCCCACGAAAGTGGCGACAGTTGCGCAGATCGCAAGCATCCCCAGGGGGCGGCGAGGTCTCGAGGTGGTCCGCGTGGGACGTACCTCCGCTGGGCCTCCCAAGAGCCCACGAAAGTGCAGACGGCTGCGCAGATCGCAAGCCCCCCAGGGGGCGGCGAAATCCCGAGGTTGTCCACGTATGACGTACCTCCGCTTGGCCTCCCAAGAGATCACAAAAGTGGCGACGGCTGCGCAGATCGCAAGCCCCCCAGGGGGCGGCGAGGTCTCGAGGTGGTCATCGTATGACATACATCGGCTGGGCCTCCCAGGAGCCCACGAAAGTGCCGACAATTGCGCAGATCGTAGCCCCCGAGGGCACCGCGAGCTACTGTGGTGATCTGCGTATGACGTACCTCCGCTGGGCCTCCCAGGAGCCCACGAAAGTGTCGCAACCCCTAGGCACGCCCACCCAACAGACAAGACGGCGAGGCAGGAATCAGCAATCAGACGGCACGAGAGACGAGGAGAAGGGACCACAGGAAACAGGAGAGAAGGAGGAGAGGAGAGGAGAGGAGGAGGAGGTGGAGACCAAACTGCTCTGTTCAAATTGAGAACCCAACACAGGAGGGTTGGGACAAAATGCCATAAACAAAAACTGGGGCCCCAGCGCGGATCCAAGAAATCCGCGCGGAGCGCCAACAGTGTATGTTTATGGCGTTGATAGGTTCTTTGAGATGCCCCCCTGAGGTCCAGGAACAATTCATTGAAGGGTGTCTGTGTATATTATTGTTGCGGGGAAGCCCTGCTCCTCCTCCTCCTCCTCCTTGTCCTCCTCCTCCTCCTCCTCCTCTCCTACCTCCTCCTCCTCCTCCTCCTCCTCCTCCTCCTCCTCCCTCCCTCCTCCTCCTCCTCCTCCTACCCCCGCCCCCTCCCCCCCTCCCCTCCTCCCCCTCCTCCTCCTCCTCCTCCTCCTCCTCCTCCTCCTCCTCCTCCTCCTCCTCCGTCCTCCGTCTCCTCCTCCTCCTCCTCTCCTCTGTCTCCTCCTCCTCCCCTCTTCCTCCGTCTCCTCCTCCTCTCCTCCTCCTGCGTCTCCTGCGTCTCCTCCTCCTCCTCCTCTCCTCCTCCTCCTCCTCCTCCTCCTCCTCCTCCCCCTCCGTCTCCTCCTCCTCCTCCTCCTCCTCCTTCTCCTCCTCCTCCTCCTCCCTCATCTCCAAATCTCTCCCTCGCGCCAACTTTCTGGTGGGCGCCGCCAGCTTCTGCACCACCCGGGGAGCTCACCACACCCGGAACCTCCGCGTCGCCTCCTATTGGGGCATCGTTCAACCGACCCCTGTCCGCATTGGCGTGGCCTAGGCCCCACTGGCCGATTCACCTCTCTACCCCGAACCCCCTCGAATCATGAACAAAAATCACGACGGAATGTTTTTTTGTATGTTCGGCCTCGGGACCGTCATAAAGCGACTCTGGATGAACAACCGGTCCCGGCGAATGGGTCCAGACCTTTGGGGGTGGCGTAATGCAAAAATCATGACGTCGGGGGTCTGGGTAGATGGGGACATGGGCTTCCTCCTTCGGGTTTGGATCGGTATATCCGCAACCAGGGTGCTGAGACGGTGGGGGTCTGGATGGGCACGGGCACGGTGGGGGTGGGGGTCGGTCAAACGATAGAGGTCCTCCTCCATGTCGAAGTCGCAACCGATCGCGGCGCCCACCTCGCGCGCGCCCCGGGCAACGGCCCCCCTCCACTCGGCCTCCGTGGCGCCGGTGGGGCCGCCGCACACCTGGACGGTCATCAGGTTGCCCTCCTCTGGCGGGATCCGTCTGGACGAGAACACGCAGCACACGCGTCAACTGTCGGCGCTCCGCGCGGGCTTCCTGGATCTGCGCTGGGCACCCCTCGCGGCGCCACCAGCCACCCCCGGGGAACCGTGACACCAACACGATGCGCAAGCTCGGGCCGCATCGGATCGTCGAATCACGGCATCGATTCGGATCGAGCTGGCCAGATTCGATACCGAATCGGATCGATCGAATCGAAATGACCCTGTCTTCAGCGGCGCGCAGAAGGGGGGGCAGAGGAAGGGGGTATGGCTTATTGGAGGGAGGCTGCTTCTCGGACGGCGCCGGCCTTACACCTATAGACAAGGCCTGCGCCTTCCAAGAAGCAGGGGTGCTTCTAGAAGCCTTCCCCTCCCTCCCCCTACCCCCCCATGCGCGTAGCCAATGTCTGGCGGGCAAAATAATTGAGTAAGGACCGACCGTCCCGGCTCTCCAACAATTCGGCCTACCACGAAATATTCTTAGAACCCAACCACATTTCAAGAACGAAGCCATGTTCTTGCAACATAAACCCAATGTGTTGAAACAAGACAGTCTCAGCCCGAAATGTTGAAAGACCTTCGCGTTCAGACCTCAAAAGGCCTTGAGAACACTAGAGGCCTCCCAGATAGGGGTCGGAGTAGATGGGGTCGGAGTATCGCGTCGCATCGCCGATACATCGGCGATGCATCGGCGATGCATCGCCGATGCACCAACGATGCATCGTCGACGTCGGCGGTGCATCGGCGACGCCGGCACGGAGAAACGTGGGCTCCACATCGAGCCGCACCGGCGATGCATCGCCGATGCATTGGCGATGCGGCGCGATCCTCCGACCCCGGCGCTTCGCCACTGCTCGAGGAGAACGCGTCCACGGGCACGGCCTCGCGGCCGGGACCGACCTCGGACGCGGCCCCATCGACAACACCGGGCGGCTTGGGCGCGGCTGCCCCCCAGAGGGAGCGTGCCCCGTGGGTCGCGCCCAGGCTGGGGCGGACGACAGCGGGGTGGCAGCAGAGGTAGCCCCGAGCTTCTTCCGAAGCGACGGGGGGGCGTCAGCCCCGCCGACAGCCCCACCTCGACCCCCGTCGCGGGAAGCCGCCGCGCGCCGAAGGCGCTCCGACCCCCGTCGCGGCGCGACGACGAGGCGAGGTTGACCCCCGTCGGGGGGTACCCGCCCACGCTGATTAAGAAACCTAGCTTAGGTCGGGCATGTCCTCTTACAGGCGGAGTTTGGCGGAAAAATCAAACATGGTCAAAGCAAATGTTCAAACATAGCCAAACAGAGTCAAACCAAGCCAGAAGAGCACGAAACATCGTCCCCAGGCTATGTACTGACTATTCTTGCAGTATCCTCCTGTAGATAAACATGCCCGATTTGAAGCCAATGGGCGGGGGGTTTAGCGAATCATCATCGACTGCAAGCGGCGGGTCTTCCCCGCGCCTCCAGGCGCCTTGAGGCGCCTCCTGGCGCCTTGAGGCGCCCATGTATCGATGGAAGCGCTTGGCGGAGGAGACGAATCCTGCGAAGTGCAGCGGGGCCCCGACCAGCCCCCCCCCCCTTCTTAATCCTCCCTTTCGTGGAGGACAGGAAATTCACCACAGCGCCTGTCTACACCACAACATCCGCGTGCAACGCAGCGCTTTTGTACACCACGACGCCTGCGTGCAGAGGACAGGTAGAAGGAGCCTGTACGCGAGGATCTGCTGCGGAAGCGCCACGCCAGGAAAGTGCTGATAATCGAATGCGACGTTTTTCCCTCTTCCCTTCTCCTCCATTTCCACCTCCTCCTCCTTTTCTTCCTGTTCCTCCTCCTCCTCCTTTTCTTCCTGTTCCTCCTCCGCCTCCACTTACTCCTTACCCCCTGTCGTGCGGGTTGGCGCTGCAGCGCACGTGCGCAACTCAGCGTATACCGCAGAATGGTCGTTTGAATCGGCCCACTTGGTTTTCGGACGGCCAATTTAGCTGGAGCCTCCTGAACGCAGATGGGAAGAGTTACGGTGATGTGGGCGGACTCGGAAGGACTCGTCGATTCCCCTGGCGCTCCCTTGTCCACCAGAATTATTTGCTGGTGTTTTCGGTGAAATCCACAAGCGCTCCATTTTGTCATAACGATCCTTCTAACATTCTACATACAACAGCGGCGCTGTGTTGCACACGGTTGCTGTGGTGCACACAGGCGCCGTGGTGTACACAGGCATTGCAATGCACGCCGGCATTGTGGTGTACACTGATGTGTTGCACGCGGCGGATGTGGTGTACGAAGGCGCTGTGGTGTACACGAGAGCTGTTGTGCCCGCGCGCGCGGTGGCACAAACTGACGCTGTGTTGCACGCGGCTGCTGTGGTGTACATAGGCGGTGTGGTGTACACAGGCGCTGTGGTGCACGCGGGCACTGAAGTGCACACAGGCGTTATGGTGCAGATCGCCACCTACATGCTGGTGCCACCCGTCCTCCGTCATTCCTAGGCATTCCCAGGCGCCGCAAGCGCGAAGCGTGACGTGATCGACCCCCCCCACCCCCCCAGATGATTGCCGTCATCGGCCCGGAATGAAAAAACAGGCTCCAACCGCGTCCGCGCGCACGACGACGATGAACGACGAGCGACGAGCGACGAGCCACGACGACGACGACGACGTCGACGACGATGACGACGACGACGACTGCGGACCAGACTCCTAAGAGGATTCCTACACGGACACCTACGCGGATCCCAATGCGCACGGCGGCATTGCCCGGAGCGCCCTGGGGGGGAGGAGCGTTTCGTCAGGGGGGTGGGGAGGGCGCGGGCCATGACGCCCGTCATGCCCCAAACAATAAAGAACTTGTCTCTTGCGTGGCTGATAAAAAATCTTCCCGGAAGAAAAAAATAGGTTCCCGGAAGCAAGCTCACAGCGCACTACATATAGCAAGCGGGCTGCTTCACGGAAGAACGAAAACAATTTCCCAGAGCTCTGTTTTAGCAGCCACGGGTTTGCCAACCTTCGCCCGGCTTCTGAACAACGTCGGGTGAGGATAGGTCGAGAACCTCCGACCGGGGAGAAGACGTAAGACTCTGGTTCGGGGGACTCGTGTTGGCCTGACAAGGTCATCATAAAAATGACGAGGCCCAATCCGACATGTGCCGCGAGCTCCCGCTGCAAGCATCCCACGAACACTGGACCGTCAAAATCCAGGACGCGCTCGTCAACAAACGTCGGCAAACCCGAGTTCTGGCTTGCTCGAGTCTTACGTTTCACCGATACCGATTCAGTAGGAGCTCGACTAAAAGAGATTCAAAAACCAAGCCCTGAGACCCCAGGACGCCCATTGGTTTTGGTGTGGGTACGTCACGCTTTCCATGGCAACACCATCGAAACTCAGGAAACTCCAGGTACCCTGGAGGCAAGCAGGGTGCATCTTGGCATGGGCTTCCACTGTAGATCGAGCATCTCCGGGAGCTGGCGGTTCTGGAGGATGTCTCGGGCGCCACGATCCTCGCAGAGCGTTCCGAGACGGACTGATCCTCGCCCTAGCCGCTGGCCCCGTCCGAAGCTCCCACCCCCAGTCGCTGCACGCCTTCCAAGTCTGCGTCACCTCGGGGCATGGCGAGGGGAGCTAGCGGCTGGCTCAGAATCGGTCACTGGACACCTCGTGGAGTCCAACCGCACCAATCTTCCGAGAGGTCCACCGCCGTTGTTTCAACCGGCCCTCCTCTGACTAGAAGCCTCCTAGATGGGGTCGGAGTAGATGGGGTCGGAGGATCGCGCCGCATCGGCGTGCCATTGGCGATGCGTCGGCGATGCGTCGGCGATGCACCGGCGATGCATCGGCGACGTCGGCGGTGCATCGGCGACGTGTTCGTGCAGAAAATCGGGCTCCACATCGAGCCGCCCGCATCGGCGATGCGTCAGCGATGCGGCACGATCCTGCGACCCCATCTGCTCCGACCCCATCTGGGAGGCCTAGACTTAGGTCGGGCGTCCCCCTACAGGGGGATTTTGGATGAAAAACGAAAAATATTCCAAAAATGGTCCAAAAATGATCAGAAAGTGTCGAAAAAGAATCGTCCCCAGACTATTTTTGCACTATTTTTTGAATCTATTCCCCTGTAGAGGGACAGGCCCGATTTGAGCCTAGACTGACACACCCAGTCGCGGTCTAAAACAGGGCTAGGATCGGGATAAATCGCTCCAGAGCGTTCCGGAGCGCTCTCAGAGCGTTCCGGAACGCTCTGGAGCGGCCGCGGCGCCCAATACATCCTCCAAACCCGCCGATTCTCAGAGATTTCGAGTTATCCCGATCCGATTTTGTCCCGATCTTCGCGTCGTTTTACGGTCCTCACTCCAAGTCTGCCTCGCCCCCGTCGCGGCCGGGCGTGCGGGGGGTCATTCTGGGCTCCCGCAAGGCGCCAGCCACACGCAACACCTGTCCTGGCCAGGCCCACCCTGGGCCCAGGATGACTCACCAGGAAAAAAACTCCTAACCCTTTGGGGAGGAGCCTAAGTTGGGAGGGCCCAGAACGTTAGGGAGAGGGGGCCTGTTCTGCAAATGTGTCGGACCAAACCGCCCAGCATCCGAATACAAGCGAAGACAGACGGGGACCTCAGTGAGGCCACGTCTCCATCGTGTTATAGCATGAGGGGTTCTTGTGTTCTCGATGGCAGGATGTGCCTGGCCAGGACCAGCGCAGGTGTGCGTGGTGGGCGCCCTCAGAGCTACGATCAGGTCGGGCATGCCTCCCTGCAGGCGGATCTTGTACGAAACATAAAAGATCAGATCAAACCATCGTCCCCGCACTATTCTTCTGCTCTTTTTGAGTGCTCCTCCTGCAGACAAACACGCCCGACGTAAACCGAGGCATCCGGCGTCTCGATGAGCTTTGCTCGGCGGTGGGCAAACCTCCCTTTAGTAAACCTCCCCTTAATGAAGACGGCCCGGGACCGACACCGACGGACCTGGACCCGCAAAAATGACGGCCGCGACGCCCTCTCGCGAACCGAAATCGGCCAATTCCTCAATCGACGTGTCAGGGTAGGAGGTCCATCCTTGGACGCCCGAATTATCCGGGATAACTCGGGTCCGGGGTAACTCGGGTTTGGGTTCCCGAAAAACGGACCCGAGTTAGCCCTGACCCGAGTTACCCCTGATGATTCGGGGCTCTGGACGCCCGAGAAATATCCGGGGTAACTCGGGTCCGGGGTAACTCGGGTTCGGATTCCCGAAAAACGAACCCGAGATAGCCCTGACCCGAGTTACCCCCGCTGATTGGGGGCTCTGACATCCACCTCCCATATACGGGCCGCCGACCTCGCGAGGACCACCTCCCCGTGGCATCGGCTTCGCGCCCCGAGCCGCCCCCGGACCGCCCCCGGACCGCCCCCGAGAGGCCCGCGGAGGGCCCCGCGAGGCCGCGGGCGAGGCAGCAGCCCCTCTCCTCGAGCTTTCCTTCTGCTGCTGTTGCCCGAGGCGCCCGATGTCTGAGCCTCGCTCCGTAGAATCTGTTACGGAATTCGTGTTCCATACTTGGAGCGTCGTTCGACGTTTCAGCGAGGCAGCAGCCCCTCCTCGACCTTTCCTTCTTCCTTCTGCTGTTTTGCCCGAGGCGCCCGATGCCTGAGCCTCGCTTCGTAGAATCCGTTACAGAATTCATGCTCCATACTTGGAACGTCGTTCGACGCTTCCTGCTCTGTCGTACGAAGTTTCTGGGTGCCCAGCTTCTCTTTGTGGGGGGCTGCTTCTGTTCCTTAGGGGAACGAGGAATGACGCAAACAGAAAACCTTGGAAGTCCGCGCGGACTTCTCGGATCCGCGCCGGCCCACCCCGGCGGCGCCTCCGGCACCGCCCCGGGGTCCGGCGCCGATCCGAGAAATCCACGCGGACCTCCGAGTTGTTATGTTCAAGCCATTCTTCTTAGGTCGGGCTGTCCCCCTACAAGCGGATTGTGGACGAAAAATTACAAAAACTCAAAAAATTGCCCAAAACACTAGAAAACATGAAAGAAAAATCGTCCCCATACTTTTTGTTAGGCTAGTTCTGCATGTTCCGCACGTGAAGGGACAGGCCCGACTGAACATTCTTCGTGTCCCGATCGTCGCTCGGGGTCCTCCGCCTCCGCGGAGAAGCCCGGGCCCGGCGTGAGGCCCCGCTCCCTCAGGGCCTCGCCGTAGGCGCGCAGGCGCGGCACCACGTCCGTGCCCGGCAGGAAGTTGGCGGAGAGCAGCCCCGGCTCCTGCTCGGACGGTCACCGCCGGGGGGGGCGGATGTCGGAGGCTTGGAAGTGGGCACCAGCACCAACGCCGAGGGTTGCCTCCACCAGGGGAAGGTGATCCTAGATTTAGGTCGGGCAGTGTCCATGAACGGAAATTGAAAATACAAGCAAAAAAAATCAACAAAAAATAAAGACTATTTGTTGTACTATTTCTGAATATGCCCCCTGTAGCGGGGCAGGCCCGACTTAATCCTAGATGTTGGTGCTGGTGGTAATCTTTCGGCAACCTTGGAAGCCCGAATCTCACCACCATCATCGAGATCGGGATCATGTCCCCTCGGTGGAGGCACATCGCTGGTATTTGTGTTGGTGTCTAAAAGAGCGCGCTCCACTACTCGCAAACTCACTACTCGCAAATGGCCTGGATCCGCTGGGGGGGATCTACGAGAAATTTCATTGACGCAAACATGTGATTTTTTCCAACGTTTGCACGCAGGCGCGTTGCGAGCAGCGGAACGAGCTCGGTGAGTGTCAACCTCTGGGCATCCGATGACGGCCGTGAGGCCCCGGAGTCTCGTTTCCGTCCGGGCCGGGCGTCTTCGCAGGGCTTCGGGGCCGCGGGGCCCTCGCCGGTCGAGGTCCGCAGGAGAAAGGGGGGCCAGGGCGGTGGCGGTGATTTCTCACGACGTATTGCTGCTCGCGCCGTTGGATCTCGGGGACGCCCGAACCTGGTTTTGTAAGTGGGCCACGAGTGCCCAATCTGGCTTGGGTGGGTTCGATAACTCCGTCGAGTGTGCGTAGGGCCCACTTAGCACAGGTCGCTAACAACCTGAGCCACTTCGCTACCCCAAATCTCAGTTTTGGTCGACCAGACATACATGTATACGTACATACCTACTTACCTACCTACCTACCTACCTACCTATCTACCTGCCTGCCTGCCTACCTACCTACCTACCTACGTGTATACACATACACACATACACATCCACACATACACACACAAACACGTACACACATACACACACATACACATACACACATACATGCATGCACACACATACACACATACAAACATACACACAGACAACCATACACGCATATATACATGTATACATACACGTATACATACATCCATACATCCGTACATCCATACGTCAGTACGTCCATACATTCATACACACATGCGTGCTAGCATACATACATACATACATACATACATACATACATACATACATAGATCATGCATACATACATACATACATACATACATACATATATACATACATACATACATACATACATACATACATACATACATGCATGCATACACACATGCACACATGTATGTATGCATGCATGCGTACACGCATACATGTACACATATATATATATACAAACGTGCATACACACTTACATCATGATTGCATACATGAATCCGTACACACATAAACGCCTACATACAGACATACAGACATACATACGTACGTACGCACGCAGGTACATACGTACGTATGTACTGGTGTACGTACAGGCATCCACGCACACATACATACATACATACATACATACATACATACATACATACATGCATGCATGCATGCATGCATGCATGCATGCATACATACATACATACACACAGACATACATACATACATACATACACATACACACATGCATACATCCATGCAGGTATACATCCATCCATTCACACACACACATATATATATATATACTAGAACCACGCGCGCGCTTCGCGCGTGCTTAGGTTCTAGCGCAGGCCAGGGAAGAATTACAACATATTGGGATCCACTTGGTAGAGCACATTTTTCAAGCCTTTTTTGGGTTCTGAGAGACTGGAGAGGCGAGAACGCGTAAACATCAGAAAACCACACAGAATGGCATGATTGGGCCTTCTTGGCGGCGCTCTTGGGATCTTTTGGGGCTCTTATGGGGCCCTCGAAGGCCGTCCCGGAGCGCTATTGGGCAGACTTGGGAGGCCGGGGCCGTCTTGGGGCTCTCCTGGGGCCCTGTTGGGCCCTCTTGGGGGTATCCTGTGGCTCGCGCAGGGCTCTCTTGGGAGCCTCTTGGGCCCTTTGAGGCCGCTCTTGGGCCGTCATGGGGATCTCTTGGGCCGTCTTGGTGCTCTCTTGGGCCGTTTTGGGGCCCTCTTGGGGCCTCCGGGGCCGACTTGGGAGGATCTAGGGGGGGCTTCTTGGGACGTCTTGGACGCTCTCGAGACCAAACAAGCGAATATGCTAAAAATGTACGTTTTCCAAAGGGAATGTGCCGATTTTTGCTTCGTGGGGGTCCTCGTTGGGGCCTCTTGGGGCGTTTTCGGGGCCTCTTGGGCCGTCTTGAAACCATCTAGGGCACTGGGAAGTCATCTTGACCAGTCCTGGGGACCCTTTGTGGCGCTTTCGGGTGCTCTTGGCAACCTTGTTGGGCAGTCTGGAAGCCATCGTGGGCGCTCTTGGAGCGTCCCAAGGGCTGTCTTGAGCGGCCGGGGAGCGGCCGAGGAGGCCCCTGGGGGGGGTGGACCTAGATTGGGGGTTCGAGGCCGTGGTTTCCGGGCCCCGATTTCCTTCCCTGGGTAGATGTATATGTACATACATACATACACAAACACATACAGGCACATACGTGCATACTCACATACATACATACATACATACATACATACAGACAGACAGACAGACAGACAGACAGACAGACAGACATACATACATACATACATACATACAACCATGCATGCATACATGCATGCACGTTTTAATGCCACGGCATCACTGATAACCCCTCTATATACTTAGCAACCACTGTAACAATTCAAATAACCAACCTCGAACTCCCTCCAGAAAACCGAAAGAACCCTCGAGATCGACCCCGAGCCGAGGTGATGCCACTCACAGGGATGGGGTCATGATTCAGGCCGCTGAGCGCCCGCAGCAGCCCGCGCGCCAGGGCCCGGACGACGTCGCCGCCCTGGCCGTACATCTCCTCGGGCACGTTCCCGGCCGCGTCGTAGCAGTCGACGGCAGAAGCGGAGAGGGCCGCACGAAACCGAGATCTCCGACAGTGTGAGCTTCGGGGCGTTTGGCCTCGACCTCGGCCCTCGATGGACGCCCTCGGGCCCCACGGGCCATCAAGATCCGATCTGGGCAGCAGAGACACCCCCCGGGAAGGGGTCGGAAGCTCTGGGCCCGGGACACACATCGGAGGATGTCTGGGAGCCTTCGGTGGCAACTCCTGGGAGCCTCCCATGCCATCTTGCTGGCCCTGGCGAACCGACGCTGCTCGACGCTGATCGCCGATCTTCGACGCTAGTCGACGCTAAAGCACGCTAATCGATGCTGAATCGACGCTCATCGACGCTGCATCGGCGCTTGTGCATCGACTGCCGGACGCTACAGCGCACGCGACTGCACTCCAGAGACGGCACGGCGAGGACCTGCCAGGCCCCCACGACTTGCCGTACCGAAAGGCACCCACGCTCCCGGAAACCCCGCGCGGGCTTCTCCGAGGCCGGCGCTGGCTACCCTTCGGGCGGGCATGTGCCCCGACAGGCGGAGCTTGAACGGAAAATGAAAAGTAGTCAAACCATACTCCCAAATTGCCACAAAGAATCCCCAAAAAATCGCCCCGACTTTGGAATTCTTCCTCCTGTAGCGGGACATGCCCGACTCGAGGCTACCCCGGGGCCCGGAGCGGCGCCGAAGGCGCCCCATGGGGTGGCGCGCCCGTGCGCGCTGGGAGGGTGGAGCCTGCAGCGCCGACCTGGGAAGTCCGAGCGGGCCTCTGGAAGTGGTGGCCTGGTGGGCTCGTTGTCCGCCGCCGCCACCAGACGTATGGTGGGGGGAGGGGGTCCTCCCCCTCCTCCTCCTCCTCCTCCTCCTCCTCCTCCTCCTCCTCCTCGTCCTCCTCCTCATCCGCCACCTCCGCCCCCCCCCTCAATCTTTGGTGGCGAAAGTGGAAAACATGCCCATCATAACTACCCCGGCACGCGAAGTCTGCATTTTTCAATGCGCGGCCACCGGAAGTCCCGACCCGCTCCGTGGGGCCAGCTTTTCCTCCCGGGTCGTTTTCTGATGGTCCCAGGGCCTGGCGAGGGCCCTGAGGCCGAAAACTGATACAAAACCGTAGTGATTGTTCAACACGGTGGAGGTCTGGGTTCTTGGAACACCACGGGGGGCTGCAAAGGAGATCTGTGAGTTACAAGTGGATGCCAAGATGGGTTATGCCTGGCGTAACCTAGCATTTGAGTGGGTGACACATGCCCAAACTGTCTTGGGTTGGTTTGATAATTCCGCTAAGTCAACGGAGCTCACTTAGTACGTTTACCCCCCAAGCCGTTCAGTTTGATAATTCCGCTAAGTCAACGGAGCTCACTTAGTACTTTTACCCCCCAAGCCGTTCAGAGACGCTGTGACCCACTTATGCGCTATGTCAGGCCACACGCACACTTAATATATATATATATATATATATATATGTATATGTGTGGCGATTGGTATACGAAAGAGAGAGAGAGAGAAGCAACACAAACACAACAAACAAAAGATAGAGCAAGAGAGGGAAAGACAGAACGAGAGATCTATACACGCCACCTGAGAATCCACTCATAACCTGGGGAAACCAAAAGGTACCGATACCGCTCCTCCCCGGACCTCTCCCAGGGTGCCTTCTGACCAGGATGTCGAGGCGAATCCAGCGGTGGCGACGAGGGCCTCCCAGGAGGCTCAAAGAGGGGAAAACTGGGCGAAGGTATGTCGCAGAATGGATATCTTTCGCAGATCCCCGACGTCATGTTTTTTTCACGACGCGATCCCCAGGGATCGGGACCCATTCCCCCGGACCAGTTTCTCATCCAGAGTAATTTGTTGACGGTCCCGCGGCCCCGTGGGGGCAACCGGAGGCCAAAAAAAACGAAACACCTCCCGTCCTGAGTTTTCATGGCTCGAGGTCTGGGGGCCCACGTTTCCCAGGAGCACCCCCTCCGCGGCGAACCAGGTGTACGCTCCTGCAGCCTTCTGCCCTTCGGACTCACGACCGCGTCGTACGCGCCGCCCGCGCCGGCGCCCTCCGCCGCGCGCAGCGCGAAGGGCCCGCCGCCCTCGACGCCGACGCGCAGGCGGGGCCCCTGCCGGAAGCCCATGGCGTCCGTGGCCGCGCGGAGCACGGCGGGCTCCAGCTCCGCCACGTCCACGTGGCACCTCGTGGCGGGAAGCACAAAAAAACGCGCCCAGACCTCTACAGAGAAACATCGGGGACGGAGCTCCAGAACACATTTCGACAGATATTGAAGCCATTTTGGGCCTCAGGGGGCCCTCGCTGGGCCCCGGGACCGTCCAAAAACGACGCGGGATGAACAGCCAGACCTGGGGAAGGGGTAGGGATTTCCAGGGACTGTCTTTTTGAGAAGATCGAGACATCGGATATCCACTTGAATCACCACGGGGGAATGGACAGAGGATAACAAGTGGATGCCAAGGGAGTCATCTGAAGCCTAAACTGGATGATGAATTGGTTGGGAGGCCCTACAAGGCTTGGGGGGTACGGATCTGGGAAAAGTGGGCCCCCCGCCCACTTCGGCGAGCAGGCCACATATAACCCACCTTAGTAACAATCACAGCTTCGATAGGCCCCCGATAACGAATCCGACCGTTCCTGGGAGGGGTGGAGCTGTCAGACTCCCATCGGCGATCATTGGGGGATTTGGGGTCGATGTATCCCCCCCCTGTGCCTAATCAAACGATCCCCCCCTGCCGCTGCCCCTGATACAAAGGGCCCATCCTGACCGAGACACGGCTTTCGACGTGGATCCGGCCGTGGCGACGAGGATTCAGTCGGGCGTGTCCCTCTACAGGAGAGATACCCAAACATGGTCAAAACAAAGCCTGGGGACGCTTTTCTGAGCTTCCTTCAAAAGTTGTCCTTGAAACTGTGTGGGCTGCTCGTCATTCCTCGCTCCACAATATCCGCCTGCCGGAGGACATGCCCGACCTAAAAGAAGACGAGGCGAGGGCCGCGCGCCGTCTCCGCGGGCCCCTCCCCCGCGCGCCCGCCGCCCCCCCCGGGAGGCACCCCGGCAGCGCCCCCGCCAGGAAGGAGGGCACCGAGCCGCCGCCCAGGCCCAGGCACAGCACCCGCAGCAGCGGGCCCGCGCCGTGCTCGCCGCGGGCCGCGGCGAGCACCGGGGCGCCGGCGGCCGCCAGCGCGGCGAGGGTCACGGCGACCAGGGAGCGGTTGTAGGGCAGCGACAGGACCTGGCTTTTTGGGTCGGGCGTGCTCCTCCACGGGAGGAGGGCTCGAGAGTAGTAGTCCCCGAACAAAAAATCTGGAGGAGCGATTCCGGGGTGGCTCGGCAAGAGAAGCAGAAAGGAACGCTATACGCTATACACACAAACTGTTGGCGCTCCGCGCGGACTTCTGGGATCTGCGCTGGGCCCCCCCCCCTCCCTGGCGCGGGGCACGCCAAGGGCAGCGACAGGGCCTGGCTCGGTACGGCTTCGTGTCAGGTCGGGCATGTCCTCCTACAGGCGGATCTTGGACGACAAGTGAAACAAATCAAAATATTCAGAGATAGTCGAAAAATGATGAAACGAATCGTCCCCATCATATGTTTGGACTGCTTTTGAATATTCCCCCTGTAGAGGGACAGGCCAGACTTAAGCTTCGTGGCAGTCGCGCATACTTGTCAAGTCCGAGGACGCTAGAAGGGAGGACGCCAGAAGGGCGTGCAAAGGCCTCTCGAAGGAACTCGAGGAGCTCCTGGAAGGGAACAGGCGCATCGGGAAACGCTCAGAAAAAACCTGCAAAAACCCGCTGCCGGGTCGCACAAGCCGCGCCGAAGATTGTTCACGGAAGCCGGAACGAGCTCCATGACCTGGCTCGGGAAGGCTTCGTGGCAGTCGCGCGCACAGGAGGAGCTCGGCCACAAGAGACCTCCCATCAGAAAAAAAACCTAAGACCCCAGGACGTGCTTGGATGTGTGGTGTGGGGACGTCACGCTCTCTATAGCAAGACCATCGAAGCCCAAGAAACCCAGGGCACCCTGGAGGCAAGCAGGGTGTTTCTTGGCATGGGCTTCCACTGTATGTAGACGCTGAAGCACGCGGGCCTTCGCTCCAAGCGCAGTGCACACCTTGTGCCGAACGCCTCGCGCTCGCGAGCCTGCCCCGAAGGATGTCCACTGCACGTTGCGCGATGGCGGTCGCGAGCACAGCATCATGGCCATGCTCCTGCCTCCGACTTCGGGCTGTTCACCGTCGCAGACATGCCCGCGTCCAGAACAAACTCAGGACCGGCGGGGCGTTGGCCGATTTGGGCCTCCGAGCACCGGGGCCATCCACAAAACGGCTCGGGATGAAAGACTGGTCTGGGGGAAGTGGTCGAGAGAGGTCGGCTGCCCGTGCCTCGAAAAACTCTCGAAACCGCGGATGCATGGGGCTGCGCTCAGGCAGGCAGACACCCCTAAGTAGCCCCGGCTGGCCTCCACAGACAGGCTCCCCGAACCACCACTTCACCCTGGCGCCGCCAGAGGCGGCGCCCCTGGGTCGCTCCGCGCCCCAGGGTTGAGGCGTTGAGATCGCCCCGGACTGCTCGGGGGGGCGGCTGTTGAGGCCAGCTGGGCAGCTGGGACTCCTCCTGCCTCGGGGGCGGAGGGGCAGACAAGCGCGTTCCGCTGCTCGCAAAATCACCACTCGCAAATGGCATGGATCCGCCATGGCCTGGTTTCTTCTGACGTGAAGCGCGCTCGGGTCAGGGGAGGTCCTGCTGATGCCAGCCAGGACTGGCTTTAAGTCGGGCCTGTCCCCCTACAAAGGACTATGTTTGGACTATTTTGGATTATCTTTGCCTTTCTAGGGTATTGCCTGGGGACTATTTTTTGCCTTTCTAGGGTAACCGATTACCCAGGAGAATTAAGTACCCCCCCCTTAAGTCGTTTGAGTTTTTTATCGTCGGCCTAGACGGGTTTCAAATAGAGGCGGAGGGCGCGGAGGCCGAACTTTCACGGGGAAAGTTCGCCATCGAGGTTACTTCCTTCTTATGTTGAGATAACAACATCAAGCGAAGCGAACAGGTTTTTTTTCAGGATGTCTTAAGCGAAACCAATGTCCTTCTGTCTCTTTGTATGTATGTATGTCTTTCTTTCTTTCTATGTGTCTCTCTCTCTCTGCCTCTCTATCTCTTTCTCCTCCTCCTCCCTCTGGCGCCCTGAACTTGTTTATCGCTGGGGTTGATTATCCTGGGAAAACGAGGCACGTGAGCTACCCTACACGAGCAGATGAAACTTTTAATGTTCATTAAGCGCTTACACATTAAATCTAATACGTTTTAAACTTTGGATTTTTGCTATCTCCTTCTCCTCTCTTCCTCTTGCTCTTTCTCCTCCTCCTCCTCCTCCTCCTCTTCCTCCTCTACCTCCTCTTCTCTTTCTATCGTTCTATGTATCTCTATATCTCTCTTCTCCTCCCCCTGCCCCCCTGAACTTGTTTATCGCTGTGGTTGATTATCCTGGGAAAACGAGGCACATGAGGAATCTCTATAGAAACTCCGAGATTTGTCGAGGATGCCTCAAGCGAAACAAGCAATGATTTCAAGGATGTCTCAAGCGAAATAAGCAATAATTTGAAGATGTCTCAAGCGAAACAGACAAATATTTCGAGGCTGTCTCAAGCGAAACAAGAAATCCGTTGAGGATGTCTCAACCGAGACAAATCTTTGTTGATGATGTATCATAGAGGACCAAAGACCAAGGATCCTCAAGATATCTTTGGCTTTTTCCTCTTGATATCTCTTTATGCTGGCTCTGGCGGGCAACTTTTATTATCTCCCCGAAAACCCCGAACTTTACTATCCCTGGGGGTTTATTCTCCGAGGTTCTTGGTTATTTTTGGGGTATTTTGAATTTTTCGCTGAAAGACCCCCTGTAGGAGGACACGCCCCACGTAAGACTGCCTGCAAGGGCGCTCCGCGCGCGGCCCGTAGCCCCGCCGGCCTGGCTCAGGAGCCGCACCCGCGGCTCGGGGCCGCCCGGCGGGGCGACGCACACCCTGGTCACCGCCTGCACGTAATCCAGGCAGGGCTGGAAGCGCAGCACCCGCCACTGCTGGCGAGACCCCGGGGCCGCGCCCGCGGGGGCCCCCGCGCCCGCGTCCTCCACGGCCGTCACCTGCTGGCACGCCCGGGGTGGGAACGGGAAGGGTGGGCGCGATGTGCCCACCCGCAGCAGCTGCTCATGTGGAGCAAGCGTGGGGGGAACGAAAAACCGGCACAAACAGAACAACTCGGAGACCCAGGCGGATCCGCACTGGAACCCCTTCCCGGAGTCCCAGCGCCGATCCGAGAAATCTGCGCGGGCCTCCGAGATGTTATCTTTATGCCATGGTTTGTTCCCCTACTGAAATGCTGTCCGTCGGGACCTTCCGACAAGATGCCGTGTCATCTTGTCAGCGAGTTTTATATATATATATATATATATGTGTGTGTGTGCAATGTTTGCACAGCAGGTGCTCACACATGTCACATGGGCAAGACCTGCAGTCACCATGCCAGCACGCGCTGTTCTCGATGGACCCCGAAGGACAGCTGATCTCGTTCCAGATGAACAAGCACTGCTGTTGAGCGTCGTACCCTTGATGATTGGAGGGGGAGCTGCATCAATTCGTTGGTGCATGAATGAGAGAACGAGGAATGCCATAAACATAAAAACTGGGAGGTCCGCGCGGATTTCTCGGATCCGCGCTAGACCCCCTAGCGGCGCCTTCGGCGCCGCCACTGGCGCGCTTTGCGCGCCAAGGAGGAGGGTCCAGCGCCGATCCGAAAAATCCGCGCGGACCTCCGAGTTGTTATGTTCATGTCATTCTTCGTTCCCCTACTGATGATTGGAGGGGGAACTGCATCTGTTCGTTGGTGCATGAAAACGATTCGCGCTCCTGCCAGAGCGCTCCTCAGCCCAATGTCTGCGACGGCATGCTTGCAGCATGCTGGCGGCAATGATTGGGGAGATGTAAAGACTCGGGTTCGGGGGGCTCGGGTTGGCCTCCCGGGGCCGTCAGGAAAATGACGAGACCCAATATGAAACTTGACGCGAGCTCCCGCTGCAAACCTCCTGCGAAAGCCAGCCTGTCAAAACCCAACATGGGCCCGTCAACGAACGTCGGCAAACCCGAGTTCCAGCGAGCTTGAGCCTTAGCAGTCGGACTACAGGCCAGAAGCACATCCCTCGAGAACATGAGACCCTCCGTCGGCCGAAACACACGCATCAAACATCCAAGGGTACCCTCTCCAAGATGCGCATGAACGTCCAACAAACACGAAGATCAGTATCGGCTGTGGACAAACCTCCCTTTAGTAATCCTCCCTTTCGTGAAAACGGCCAAAGACCGAAACCGACAGGCCTGTACCCGCAAAAGTGACGGCCGCGACGCCCTCTCGCGAACCGAACACGGCCAATTCGCTCATCGACGTGTCAGGGTAGGAGGTCGAGCAACCTCCGACAGTAGGGCGTCCTCCCCGCGAAGAACCCCGATCCTGTGCCTCGGTCCGACTGCATGCTTCCCCGTGAGCCCAGGGTCCGTCCCCAACTCCAGAGGCGCGTAGCACCTGCAGGCCGCCGCCGCCCGCGAGGTCGATCCGGGCCACGACCTCGCCGCTCCTGAGCACTGTTTACATGGCGGGCCTGTCTTCCACCACCACCACCACCAGAAGTTGGAGGGGGAGGAGGAGGAGGAAGAGGAGGGGGAGGACGATGAGGAGGAGGAGGAGGAGGAGGAGGAGGAGGAGGTGGTGGAGGAGGACCCCCTCCCCCTCCAACTTAAAGTGGTGGTGGTGGAAAACAGGCCCATCATTATAATCGATCCCGATCCCCACGGGCGTCGTCTGGGCCACACTGGCCGATGTACCCCCGAGCTAGAGAAATAGGCGGTCCCCACCAGATTTAGAGGGGCATATGCACAACAGGGGTGGCGGGCTGCTGGGAATCGTGACGAGGGAAACAAGAAGTGACATAAACACAAAAACTCTGAGGTCTGCGCCGCCAATTGAGCCCCAGCGCAGGTCCGAGAATCCCGCGTGCAGCGCAAAACAGACTGCATTTGTTTCTTCTGCCATGGTGGTATGGTGGGGATCGGGATGGGGTGGATATGGGGACCCAAGCATGCGATGTCCTGTTTTTTTCAATGCTGGGTCCCCGGAAGTCCCGACCCCTTCCCCGGGGCCGAGTTTTCGCATTGTCTAGTCCCACCAGCCCTCTGGGCGTAGGTGATTTAGGGAGTTTCCTTTTCCCCTTCGGGGATTACACCTCGCCCTGCCCCCTCCCCTGGACCTGGACGAGAGGTTTCGCGACGCGTTGGAGCGTCCAAAACGGCCCCGGCGAGGAAGCCAACATCCGTGGTTTTACTATGGTTGTGGCCCCATTTTGGCCTCCTGAGGGGGGGAGGCTAATTTAGCCCCCCATCCCCTCCTGTGATCGATCTCCTCCTAGATGGCCCCAAGAGGCGCCCAGGAGTCCCCAAGAGGCCCCGAGATGGCCCCAAGGTGGCCCCATGTGGCCCCAAGAAGCCCCCAAGAGGCCCTCAGGATGCCCCCAAGAGGCTCCCAAGAGACCCCCAGGAGGCCCCGAGAGGCCCCCCCAGAGTCACCCAAGACGCTCCAGGAGGCCTCTGCGAGAATGCCAAAATCATTGATGTTACTCTGGTTTTGGCCACGTTTGGGCCTCCTGGGGAGGGGGCACTGTTTCAGATGACTTCAAGAGCGCCTGGGAGAGCCCAAGATGACCTCCAACATGGCTCAAGATATCCCAAGATGCCTCAAGATGGCTCCCACGATGCTCCAAGAGGCCCCAAGACCGCTTCAAGACTGCTCCAAGTGGCCAAAGAGCGAGCTCCCCCAGGAGGCCCCGAAGAGGCCAAAATCCTTCCAAAACCATGGGAACATCAATGTTTTGGGCCTTCTCGCCTTTTCGCTTCCGATGGCCATCCGAGGCTTCAAGATGACCCCAAGATGGCCCAAGAAGGCTCCAGGAGCCCTCCCAAGGCTCCCAAGAGCGCTTCCAGAGGGCCCCAAGAGGCGCCCAGGAGGCCCCAGACGGCCCAACAGGCGCCCCGGAGGCCTCAAAGAGGCCCCCAAGAGACCCCCAAGAGGCCCCAAGAAACCCTCCGAGGCACCCAAGACGCTCCAAGAGGCGCCCGGCACCGCCAAGAGGCCCCCAAAACGCTCCAAGAGGTATCCGCTGGGGGAACCTTCCTCTGTGTGCTGCCCACTTCCCTGATCGAGGCACTTCCTCTGGGCATCGTTTCTGCATGGGCTGGTGGGGTTACTTTTTCCCAGCCATCCTGTGGTGTTGGGTCCTCGTTTTGAAGAGACGGTGCCCCGCGTTCCCTCCTTCCTCCTCTCGTCCTCCCCCTCCTCCCTCCTCCCTCCGCCCACCATCATCATCGGAACTCCACCGGAAGCCCCAGTGTTGCCGCCCGCATGCGTCACGCACACTCATTTCGGCACACCTTTCACGCGTTTCGTGGCCCCATAGGGAGCTCCACCGAAGGCCCCGGTGGCTGCGTTAGCATGCGCCCGCCGCACCCGTTTCGGCACACACCCCACGCGTTTCGTGGCCCCATAGGGAACTCCACCGAAGGCCCCAGTGGCTGCGTTAGCATGCCCCGCCGCACCCATTTCGGCACACCCAGTGGCTGCGTTAGCATGCGCCCGCCGCGCCCATTTCGGCACACCCCATCACACGTTTCGCCGCCCCACAGGGAGTTCCATCGAAGGCCCCAGTGGCTGCGTTCGCATGCGCCCACCGCACACATTTCGGCACACCCTTCACACGGATCGTGGCCCCATAGGGAGCTCCACCGAAGGCCCCAGTGGCTGCTCTCGCGCGCCACGCGCCACGAGGCCCTCCTGCTCATGCGGGCGCCGCGCATCGAGTTCTTCCTGGCCGGGTCGCCGGAGGGCTTGCGTAAGCAGCTGGAGCCATTTGCGGCGCGCACGAAGCGGTGCAGGAGGGAGGCCATGGCCCTCGCCAGGGAGCTCGGTTTCACCGACTTTATCCGCGAGGCATGACCTGAGGAGCGGCCCGCCCCAGCCGCTTCTTCTCTTGGCTGTCCGGCTGTTCGGCCTCGCGCCGCGGACGACCCGCGCGCGTCGTTGGGACCCTCTCGGGGCGATCAGCGCGCGTCGCGCGAACTCCGCGCTGCGCTCTGCAAAGCGCCTCGCGCGCCCTTCGTCGCTCCGCCCAACGGCCACAGCCATGCGCCCAATCAGTTAGCCTGCAAGCACTCTCGGCTCCGTACAGCGGACGAACCGCGCGCGTCACTGCGACCCCTTCAGGGCGACTTGCGCGCGTCGCGGGGACTCCGCGCTGCGTTGCGCCAGCGACCTTAGACTTTGGAGTGCGCGGGAAAAGAAGAAGGTGAAGAAGGTGTGGGGCGTGCCGACATGGGCGTCGCGGCGCGCGGGCGCTGCCGTCGGGGTTCCCAGGGAAGCTCCCTGCGGAGGCTACGCTCAGCGTCACGAGGACTGAGAGTCAGGCAGACCCAACCCATTCATAGCCGTATAGATTTACACTAGGCGTATCCATGCTAGCATTCATGCAGACAGAACCAATCGCAAGCAAATTCATTCATAATCCGACTCCCTCGCGCTTAGACTCGCCCGCGCTCAAGCTTTCATGATCAAACCTATCGTTTGCGTTCGTGCTGTGTACTCCGCCACACATGTCGGCACCCCCCATCACGCGGTTCGTGGCCCCAGAGGGATCGCCACCGGAGAAGATATGCACATTTGCGGTACTCACAATTGCATATGGTCGGGTCTTTTGCCAGGCTAATTTGGTCGCGTCCGCTAGCGAAAGCGCAGGCGGAGACATAAGCTGTCCGGGGCACGGAAACATACCGAATTAGCTGCTAGGCGCGAAACGGGCCGGCCGGGCCAGACCACAAGGCAGCTGTTGAGCCGCTCGGCGAGGGCTGACTGGCTGAGGGCACCCAGGGAAGCTCGGGCAACGTGCACTCCTGAGCAAAATGCCAGGGAATTCGATGTACGCCCTGCGGCGTGAACCACGCAGTGAAAGCGAGGACGTAAGCGAGCTGATGCCCACACCCCTCACACGCCTGGTGGTCGCAAGCGCGAAGTGAACGATGAACGAGTCGCCAGCGGGGCGCCAAGTCCAGGTCCGTACCACCGTTGTATATGAGCCAGGTGGGGTAAGCAACCGAAGTGACGTCGTAGACCTGCCTGAATGGCTGGGACGGACCCAGGGGAAGCGCAGCGTGAGACGGACGGCTGAACCACTCCGAAGCGACCGCGGGACTCCCGGGGCCCACCATCCCGAGCACATGGGGGGCCGGCCCTGTGGCGAACCCTGAGGGCCTGGCCCTAGTCACCCGCCTGTCAAAACGTGGTGAGGCGTCGCAGCTGGTGGGGTTACGCGAAGCGTCTAGAATTTGTTTGAACGGTCTCAGGGCCCAGTGAGGGCCCCCCTGATGCCCAAAATGGTAGTAAAAAAAAAAAAAACCTGCCGTCCTGCTTGCTCACGACGTGGGCATGTCTAGGGACAGATATCTGACTACCTACCGCACCACTCCAAGCTAAGGGTTCAGAAGAGTACGGGCTCCATTGCGTTTTTTTGTTTTCTTATAAAAAAGTTCCAGGATACCATGCCCCCTTATTGGGACTGGAGAGCTTCGAGTTTGGTTGGGGTGGTTTGATTCTGCGGCGAGCGAGGGGGGGAAATGAGAAGGGGCGGGCCTTCTAAGAAGGCTCGGAAGTACCCCAGCCTTCTGAGAAGTTCCCTGGGCCCTAGGCCTCCCCCGAGGACACAGAAAGCTTCCCAGAAGGCGCGAGGGCTTCTGAGAAGTCCCGCCGCCTTCTCGGAAGGCCTTCTGCTTCTCACTTCCCCCCCTCGCTCGCCGCCGATTGGTCCATGTCTCCCGAGTTCGCGCATCGCGCTGCGCGAAGTGCGAGTGACTTCGCGCCCACGCGCCGCCCCCTAGGGGAGAAGAGGAGGACGAGAAGGAATTGGAGCCGAACCGCGAAGCGCGAATACCTTCGCGCCCCCGGGGGCACCCTTGGGTCTGGCAGGTGTTGGAAATCGGCAACGCGATTGGGGAAACCAAAAGGTACCGATACCGCCACTCCCCGGACCTCTCCCAGGGCGCGTTCTGACCAGGATCTCGAGGCGAATCCAGCGGTGGCGACGAGGGCCTCCCAGGAGGGCGACAAAGGGGAAAATAAGCGAATTGGTAGTGGTATGGGCACCTTTTGAGCAGGGACCGACCGTCCCGGCATTCCTATAGGCCTACCACGACATGTTCTTGGATAGCGAATATTCTGAGAACGAAAGCACTTCTTAGTACACAAAGCCGACGTGCTGAAATAAGACAGCCTCAGCCAGACATGTTCAAACACATCCTCGTGCAGACCACAAAAGGTCTGTATAACATCTTTTGTTTGGCGGGCCTATAGCGAGGAGGGACAAAAGTACCACTAGCACCAGCTCAGGGGGTGACCACTCCCTCCCCTCGAGCTTGTGGCACCTCCTTGCGGGAACTCTCTGGAGGCATGCCCAGGGTGGGGCAGCCATCCCCCTAGCTGGTGGTAGTGGCACTTTTGTCTCTGGTGATATAGGCGAGCCAGGACGCTTCGCCACTGCTTGAACCTTTCCCCCCCCCTCCGAGCGATGCCGAGCTCCCCATGTAGCCCGCCCGGCCCTGCAGCAGGTCCGCGGCGGCGGTCAGCAGGGCTGGCAGCGCCGCCACCAGCGCGGCCGCGGCCAGCGCCGGCAGCGGCAGTTCAGGGGCGGCCTCCAGTGGGGGGCAGCCAACAAAGATCGCCCTCGAGCGTTTCACCCTCCTCCTCCTCCTCCTCCTCCTCCTCCTCCTCCTCCTCCTCCATCTCCTCCTCCTCCTCCTCCTCCACTCCTCCTTCTCCTCCTCCTCCTCCTCCTCCTCCTCCTCCCCTTCTTCCTCCTGCTTCTCCTCCTCCTCCCCTTCCTCCCCTGCCTCCCCCTCCTCCCCTCCTCCTCCTGCTTTCCTCCATCCTCGTCCTTGCCCCCCCCCTTTCCCCCGTCCACCTCCTGCTCCTCCACCTCCTCCTACTCCTCCTCCTCCTCCTCCTTCTCCTCCTCCTCTGTCTCTGCCTCTGCCTCTGCCTCTTCCTCGCCATCCTCTTCCGTCCTCTTCCTGCCCAGCCGTCTTCTCTCCCCCCATAGGCATCCACATGTGAGACCTACCCCTGCCATTGCAGGCCAGGTGTTCAGACTCGGCAGGATGAATGAATGCAGCCAGGTGAACCACAGGCGGGGGTGCTCGATACCCCAGCGTCGATTGGACCCGCAGGAGCAGGGTTCGCTCGTGGTCGCAAGCCCTAATTACCCCCCTCCGGCTCCTCCTCACCCTCTCCACAGCAAAACCACACGCGCACCACCCTCCGATCCCCCCCCCCGACACTGCGATAGCTTGCCGCCGCCGTTCCCGCGCAGTTCACAAGTGATTGCACTTAGGGGCTGTCGCTTCTTGTCCTTAGGCTATTGTTGGCGGTGGACCCACCTTCATGCAGTAAACCACCCTTCAACGAAAACGGCCTAAGACCGAACCCGACAGACCTGGACCCGCAAAAGTGACGGCCGCGACGTCCTCTCGCGAACCGAAAATGGCCAATTCGCCAATCGGCGTGTCGGGGCGGCAGGCCCACCAACCTCCGACATGCTGCGTGGGCCCGCCGAGGTTCGGCCTGCCGTGCGCCTCGTGGCCGCCTCGTGGGCGCCCCCTGCGCGGGCTGCGTCCGCCGCGGCTGCGCCCGGTGGGCGGCCGCGGGAGCGGCGCGGGCGCCCCCCGCAGCGCCGGCACTGCACGGCCCGTGTGGCAGACGCGGTCTAGGGCGCACAGCTTGCAGGAGGAGGAGGAGGAGGAGGAGGAGGAGGAGGAGGGGAGGAGGAGGAGGAGGAGGAGGAGGAGGAGGAGGAGGAGGAGGAGGAAAAAGGGGAGGAGGAGGAAAAAGGGGAGGAGGAGGAGGAGGAGGAGGAGGAGGACACGACATAGCTTACGCCACCACATCGGTTGCACCACATCGCCTGCACGACACAGCCTGCACCACCGTTGCACCACGCCTATAGTCTGCCCCACACTGCTCGCGGCACGCACAACTTGCACCACACAGATGGCATCGCCGTGACCGCCCCGGGACGGCCCTCCAGGGCCCCAGGGCGGCCCTCCCAAACGAGGCATAGCTGCAGCGTGAGAGAAGAGAACAGGGGAGCGGCAAACAGTGCACGGACGATTAGTTAAAGCACAACGACTGCGTAACTTCAGAAGGTCTTGAATACCCCCGAGAAGCAAATCTGTATGTTCGCAGGTAATACGCGAATCGGCTAATACATATTCCGCCGCCGCCGCAGCCGCCGCCGCGGACGACGACGACGACGCCGCGGACGACGACGACGAACACGACGACGACGACGAGCACGACGACGACGACGACAACTACTACCGCTACGACGCCGCTTGCGAGCGTTACGACGAGCGCTACGACGACGACGACGTCATCGACGACGTCGATGACGACTACTACTATTACTACTACCAGTACCATTACGACAAGCGCTACTACGACAACAAAAATGGGATCGGGGGAGGGGCACGGTCTTGTACGACAAACCTGTACGACCAGCAACACACTTGCTCTCTCGAGGAAACAACAACAACCCACCAAGCACACCACGGTGAACAAGAGGAAGAGGGAGGAGAGAACATCTGAACAAGAGGAGGCACAAGAGGATGCGGAACATTGGGAGGAGGTCTATCTGGACTATCGGTGAACGCGCAGATGTGCGAGGCCAGAGCGAGCGCGAGCGGAGGAAGAAGATAAGGGGGAGAAGGAGGAGGGAGAGGGAAGAGGACGAGGAGGAGAAGGAGGAGGACGAGGAGGAAGAGGCGGAAGCGGAGGACAAGGACACGGACAGGGGGGACCGGGGCGACTCGCAGAGTCCATTGCCAGGCAAAGAGCTCTGCAGGGGGCGGGGCGGCCTTCCGAGGCCGCCTCCTGCTGCTGTTGCTGCTGCTCCTCCTGCTCCGCTCCGTGCGCGGTCCGTCGCCGAGGGCTAGAGCTGACTGTTTGGCGGGCCCGCCAAGCAGCATCAGGAACCCGAAGGAAAGGAACCGGAGACGCCATGAACATCAACTCTTGGAGGTCCGCGCGGATTTTTTGGATCTGCGCTGCCACCCCCCCTTCCTGGCGCGCGGAGCGCGCCAAGGCCGGGGGCGGAGGCGCCGCCAAGAGGGCCCAGCGCGGATCCAAGAAATCCGCGCGGAGCGCCAAAAGTTTATGTTTACAGCGTTTTCTTCTTCGACGGAGGCCACACCAACATATAGTAGCCAGCGGCTACAATGCCGGCTGAGTAACGACCCCACCGCAGCCTCCTTCCCCTCGCCCAACTTGCGTGAGGTTGTGGTCGGGCCCAATTCCAGCTGCAAGCTGAGGGCAACCCATACCGCCTTCTCCGGCATGGGCCGGGGGCGCGCGAGGAGGAGTCAAACACAGAACAACTTCCTGTTGTTCCCTACTTGAGGGCCACATCCCAAAAACAGTGTCGAGCACCCAGATAAGTATCGAAACAATGTCGATTGAGTGCCGCCTCCCAGGGTCCGACACGTGAAAACCCTTCAGTTTCGGTACTTTCTTGGTGCTCGAAATTCTTTCTGATGATGAAGGCAAACATAACATGGAACATCAGAAAACAAACTCAACGAAGAGTGCGCATCCAGCCCGCACGCGGCCACCATCGTGCTCCCGCCCCGCAGGTGGGAGCAGGGAAGGCCAGGGCAAAGAAACACGAATATTCCAGAGAGCCGTGCCGCTCAACTGCAAACAAGGAGACGAAAGAGAAGGAGAGCGACAAGGATGCGTAGACAGAAATACCTTAAAATGGCTTGCTCTCAACCTGTCCGGCATTCCGAACCCCACCTCCGAGGCGAGCGGCGCCGGCACGACGAGACACACTAACACCGCAGGCGCGTAACATGAGGGCTCCAAACCACGTGTCGCCTTTGCAAAGCCTCGGGAGAGGGCAGCGTGCAGCGTGATAGTGGAGAAAAGTCGAGCCCCACAGCGGACAGCAATCGACCCTGTGGAGACAGCAGAGCCCGACGCTGGTTTGAAGTCGGAGGTGGGGATCGGGCCTCAACGGTGCTCGTAAAGCAACGTAGGTGATAACAGTGAGACGCGTGAGGACAACGTGAAACTGAAGTGATAACGTTGTGAGCCAAACTGCACGGCTTGAAGCGCCCCTCTGGCCAGCAAGAAAAATACGATGAGCTTGTATTAATGTAGTGCTCGCCAGGCATGCCAGAAGATGGTCTCAAGTCTCAAGTGTATGTGAACATACCCACCTCCCTTCATCATTCCTTTCCCTTTCCCAGTGATCTTTCCTTCTCTGCCTCCATCGCCCCCGGCCCCCTCATCGTCCATCCTATATCCGACTACGGTTCTCGGCTCACCGCCCCGCGCAGTCGACTCCCCACTACGCAAGAACACATCCAATGACGATGCCGATTCAGGGCAATTCCTAGCTGATGCTTTTCGAAGTGGGGCCGGAACGGGTAAAATACATATCAGCCTGGCGAAGGGCCCGACCACTTGCAGCTGCGAACCGCGCAGGGCATGACCCATTCCTCGTAGGCAGCGCGCCGCGGGAAGGATGGGACACAGGACATGCGGATGGGGGCCACGAAGCGTGTGATGCGAAGCCGACACATGGGCTGGGCGAGCCCCTACTGCTCCATTTTCCCCGATGTGACTCTTCCCTCTCTCCCGCTTTACTCTGTTCGAATATTATCTGCTCTACTCTACCACACTCTATTCTGCCCTACACTACACTAGCCTACTCAAATCTACTGTACGCGACTCTCCTCAACTACATTCCTGCTCGACGCTGCTCGATTGTACTCTCTCCTCTGCTCTATAGTCTACCCGGGCAGCCAAACTCATGCGGATAGCAGAGGACGCCATGCGGATAGTTTGACTCTGCCCTACTCCTACTCCAACTCCTACCCCAACTCCTACTCCACTCTGCTCTACTCCTGCTCCACTCTACTCCTGTTCCCACTCTAGTATACTCTCCTCTTCTCTACTCTAGCAGACGGAACCATGAGGATAGCCTCTACTCCTGCTCAAATTTACTCTGCGTCCATCGGAAAGTTTACCGCTCCCGCCTCTGCGCGGCCCGCGTAATGTTCCCTTCGCCAAGTCGTCGGAAGCGGGGCCGCGAGCGAGCGCTGATGTTGTTGGAGGGAGGGTCGAAATGGGCGGAGCCCTCTGACTCGCACGCCCTGGCTAATTTGACTCTACTCCTACTCTGCTCTACCCTAGTCCTACTCTACCCTACTCTACTCTACGCTTCGATACTCTCCTCTACTCTACTGTAGCAGATGAAGGTATGCGGATAGCAGGCCGAGGTCAGGCGGATGTATCGGACGAAGCCATGCGGATGGTAGGGGAAGCCATGCGGATGGCTTGACGAGCTCTAACCTACTCTACTCTACTCTACTCTACTCTACTCTACTCTACTCTAATCTACTCCTGCTCGACTTTCTGCTTGACTACTCTCTTAATCTGACATACAACATACTCTCAGGCGAGCCCAGGCGAGTAGCAAAGGGAACCATGCTGAGAGCCTAGACGAAGCGGTGCAGACAGCAGAGGAAGCCGTGCGGCTAGTTCGACGGACATGAAAGGGGCAGATGAAGGGAGGAACAGAGGACCGCCTCTCTATTTCCTCCTCCTCCTCCGCCTCCCTCTCCTCCTCCTCATCTCTCCTCTCTCCTGCATATGGTAGTGGTGGTGGAGAGTGGGCCCATCAGGGACTGGGCACGGGAGGGTACCTTGCAGTCTCGCTCTGTTGCATCATGGGTGTCGCAGGCCGCGCGCGTCTCTTCGCCCGACTGTCTACGCCACTCCTCCGCGCGCGTTGCGCGGTGAAGCCAACAGTTATTTGTTGTTTGTGTGTGTGTGCGTGGGTGCGCGCGTGCGAGGGTGCGCGCGTGCGTGCGTGCGTGCGTGCGCGCGTGTGTGTGTGTGTGTGAGAGAGAGAGAGTTTGAGTGTGTGTGTGTGCTTGTGCTTGTACTGGTGCTTGTGCGTGTGCTTGTGTCTGAATGTCCGTTCTCGCTCTGAGTGAGTCCTCTCTCGTGTCTGGTCACCATCTCTCCGACTCCGGCTCCCACCACTCCAAAAGCTCGTGCCGCAACATGCCCACTTTCTGGGACCCGGCCCGCCCACGCTGCTCTCGTAGGGCTGGTCCGTTAGACCGACGGCGCGCGCTCTCTCACCCCCCCTCGTCGCCACGCTCCTCCTCTTCCGCCTCCTTGCGCCTTCTCTCCGCCTCCTCCTGCGGCTCTCACCTCTCTGCTCCCCCCGAGGGAACAGGACAGGGGACGCGACGACGCAACCGCGAGGGTACACGACGTGGCCGCAGCACTGCTCAGTGAAGAAGACGAAGCAGACCCCTTGCGCGAGCGAAGGCCAGGCGGCCCTGCGCGGCGGCTTCCGCGGGGCCACGGACGCGACGCACCCAAGTGGAGTCCGAGAGGGCGCTGACGCGCGTCCTTCTGCGGGCGGACTGCGCGCAAATTCCCGCGCGCCGAGTCTACTGATCCTCAACGACCCTCAAGTCGAGAGGGCCTGATTCTCAACGACTCTCAACGCAGCATGACTGAAGGGAGCCTGTGCGGCGTCCAGGACGGGCGCAACGTCGGCGGCAGCACCACGCGCCACTGCGGTCCTCCGCCGGGGCCCCAACAACACTGCGTGGTGGCCTCGGAATCCCCAACGATCTCACTGCCCGGTCCGTCACCGCCCGTTTTGGGGACCCTGCAGGCCCTGGTCGCCCGAGACGTCCTCGGAGAACGACCCGAGTCCCAAAACCGTGCGGTGACCCCGAAGCCCGCCGACTGGCCCCGCGGTGTGGTCACCACACCGTTCCAGGGAAGTTGACGTAGCAAAACAAAATCACACCAGAGGAAAACCCTGATCAATGGATGGTTTTCGCCGACGAGAACGACCGGGAACCCGGGAGCCCAGGAACCCAGAACCCACCGAAATCGGCCCTGAACCAATCACCGGGAACCCGGGAACCGGGAACCCGGGAACCCAGCCTGCTGTCAAAGTCGGCGGGGGGGCTTTCGCCAAATCTTTTAACTTCTGCTATAGGACCCCGTCCGTGCAAGCGCTGATTGGGAAATCACAGCCAGAGCACCAGACCTCATCTGTCTGTGCCATTTTTCAAGCCAGATCGATGTGCGAGGTCACCGGGGCCCGACACCAGGCGCAGACGCCCGGCTCAGGGTCAAAGTTCAGGGCCTGTGGAGAACACCGAAAGGCACCGACACCGACAATTGCACGCTCAGACTACAGTCGGACTTGATTGGAGAGGACAGGCGAGAGGACAAACGACCCTTTCCGAGGGGCACTCTGCCATAGGAATGCGGGAGGCATGGGTCGCGAGACGCCAGACACCGTGGTACCTTTGACTTGGCAGGGTCGACCTACTAATCCGGGCCGACTGTAGAATGTCGAGGCGAATCCAGCGGTGGCAACGAGGGCCTCCCAGGAAGCCGCAACAAGGCGGACAAAACGAGGCAAGGGTGGCGGTATCGGCACAGTCGGGCCGACGAACCAAGGAACGCGAAATAAAAGGAACGGAGCCCCTTTCGGGCAACAGAGGCGACTGCGCGCACGAGGAGGGCTGGAGGAACAGCCATGGAATAGAGGCCTCATAGATGGGGTCGGAGTACATTCGGACTTGATTGGAGAGGACAGGCGAGAGGACACAAGACCCTTCCGGGGGCCACGTTGCCACAGAACTTCAGGAGGCAGGGGTCGCAAGACACAGGACACGAGGGTACCCTTGCTCTGGCAGGGTCGACCTACTAATCCGGGCCGCCTGTAGATGGGGTCGGGGGATCACGCCGCATCGCCGATCCATCGGCGATGCATCGGCAATGCACGGGCTATGCATCGTCGACGTGGGCGATGCATCGGCAACGTCGACGTGAAGGAACTCGGGCTCCACATCGAGCCGCATCGGCGATGCCTTCGCGATGCGGCGCGATCCTCCGACCCCATCTACTCCGACCCCATCTAGGAGGCCTAGATGGAAGGACCTAAGGAACCGCGATCCCCTTCTGGACCCAGACTGCTCCTTATTTCAACGACTTCACTGCACCTCTTCCTCTGTGGGCCCTAGAATAGCGTATTTTTTCCTCGCGGCCATAAAAAGCGTTATGGGGGAGAAGGGGGGGCCCCCCTGTACTGTGGTGCCGGACGCACTGCGGCAGTGCCGGGGCTGAGGGGGGGAGCGTTACATTATGGGGGGGGAGGGGGGGGAGGGCAGGGGGCATAACGCGCGTTATGGCCCAGAGGATAAACAAAGTCACACTCGAAGCCTGCACTGGCGACGTCGGCGATACAGCGGCAACGTTGGCTTGGAGAAACTTGGTCCCCACAAAGGGCCGCATCGCCGATGCATCGCCGATGCATCGGCGATCCTCTGACACCATCTACTCCGACCCTATCTCAGAGGCCATCAGAAACCCGCGGATCCCAAGATGCGTGGCCCAACGCGGATCCCAAGAAATCTGCGGAGAGCGCCAAAAGTCTATGCTTCTGGCGTTGTTTCTTGTTCGATTTATGTCGCACGATGGCAAGACTGGGTTTAGTGGGACCTGGTTTCATGATCTGTACCAGGGACGCCCCCCCCCGTCCCATTCCGCTAGCCGGAATTGCCGC